GCGAGAAGGCACACAGAAAGCACGAGAAACTTTTTATAAACTTTGCACTTTGTACATCCGTCGATTCACGCCCAACTCCTTAACGGTAGGTAGCTCAGTGCGCTTCTTCGAGATTCCAAAACAGCAGTTATATCCGTCCGGATGCTTATGGAGCGTGAGAGTTCTTGAAAGGAGAACAAAACCACGAGAACTTTTAATGTGTATTCATCGAGTCCAAATACTCAATAATCAAATCACCTTCTTACTTTTTCCCCCACCTCTTCTCTCAGCTTCTTATCAAGCATGCAATATAGCTGTAATCCTCATAACACCTATTTCAATTACGTCTAACCGTCATTTTTTAAATTTTCCTTTCTTTTGTTTCATTTTACACAAATTTCCATTACCACTCTTGTAGATATGCTCTCGTCACTTATCATAACTTGCTCAATTCACCTCGATAATTCTCTACAAAAGACGCCTAGGTTTAGATAACTGAATTAGTTCCAAGTCGGTGCAAGTTTAAATAAATACTATTCACATTTATTGTTAAGCATTACGTGTAAAAAGAGAACTTCATTGAGTAAAACCAAATGTAATTTCCCTGATGTATTTACATACATATACAAATAATAATACTTTAATTTTTATGATTTGAAAATAAATTTAATCCAAACTGAGAAATCTACAGACAATACGTCATGATTCGTTTTCTAGCGTTGTTTGGATTGTCTTAACCGAATAGGATTTCAAGAGTCGTTCAGAGTTGACCTACTAGGCACAACGCCATAATCGTTTTATGACCAACTAAGGGGAATTAACTATAAAATCACTACGAGGCGCGTTACAGTGAAACACAATTAATAATAATATTTCCATCGTTCAGTTTTCGCTTATCACATAAAATCCAACACTTGACTTTGGAAGCAAGGGAACGCAAAAGGGCTGCGAGCACTCGAGTACCGTTGAGATATTATTTTAACGCGCCTCTACTTATTATTCCAAGTGCAACGCAAGGCGGTGGTATGTCCTCGAGAATGATAAAAAAAAAAATACCGCAATTAAAAACATCATTAGAATCATTTTTAATGATAAACTTTGTTAATCTAATAAGTCAAGAAATCAGCTCGACATGAAATGGGAACAAGAGAATAATATTAAAGGGTAGCTTGAGCAAAGGAGAAGGAAGAGTGAATTATGACTAAACACAAGACGGGAAAAAGAAGAAATTCGATGTCTGGAAGTATTGATTGACCGGCACAGCATTAGCAACAGTGTTAAAAAATTAAAGAGAAGCGGACGCTCCCTTTTTTTTGAGTACTAAGATCAAAATGATCGGCTAAGATATACCCTCTTTTTTCTCAGCAAATATTTATTTTGTCGTTATTGAATTAATTAATAACCCGGGATAGGACACGATGGGTCACGTAGACTATTCAAACCCGTCTAGGTATATACAATAATATTACAATATGTCTTGGAGATGCGATTCCGGTCAGGTAAACGTCCCCTACTAAGTCTATCCTACCGTCCTACCAATCGTCTTAAAGCTTTGCGCCTGATTTTGACATCTTTATACTTTAGTAGGACAGATATATATATATATATATATATATATGTGGTTATGTATTCTGCTCGACTTGGATAATGAATTTGGTGCCACTACTGCACACAGCTAGTATTACGGGTGTCACGTTCGGATTACATACACACAAAACGAACAACTGTGTCCTGTTGCCTGTTATACACACCAGCTGGGTTCGACCACCGGTGTTTAGGAAATAGAAAGTTTTTATAGGTCGACGGCAATATACTTTGTACTTGCGACAACATTTGTCATAACATAATATTATTAAATTTAATGGCCGGGATCGAGTTGGGATGACCGAAAATTGATACACGACAAAAGAGCCCAAAGTTTCCTTTTACTGTCAAGTAGTGGTGGGAATCCAAAAATCTGGATTTGTACAAAACAACGCTTTTCAAGCCACTTATGTTAACAAACGTTCAGCCGCTTCCTTTGCTTTAAAATGAATTTTCATACTTAATGAGTGTAGAAAATAAATAATAGTTCTTTTCGTTGTAAAATTATAATATAATACAAATACAGTAGCTTAACTGTTTTGTTAAAAGGAAGAGCTCTCATGAGAATGTTTTTCACCCTTAGAAGTTATATTTAAATTCAAAAATATGACCAAAGAAGCGTCACTATTTGACTTTAAAAAGACCATTACTTGTATAACGATTTTTTTATTAAATTTTCGCGTGACTCGGTATTATATTAAACTTTTGATATTGAAACGCCAGTGAATTAAATGCATTTTATTACATAACGCAAATAGGGACCCCAGGGAAAATCCACTCGAATTAAACTCTATTATATAAAACGGCTACATTATTTTTTGTTCATGGTAGTCTTGGAATATAAGCATTTTGATTTTTAATAATATAACTACCAAAATAAAAAGTTGTCTTTAAAAAAATCAATAACATTATATTATTACGTAATAAAGCAACATAATTTACGTTAAACGATTATACATTTTCTAATAATATTTAAAAAAATATATAGACCATAATTTTTAGTCATTATTGTTTGAAATAAAAATAACCTTTTTTGTTAATTCAAAAAGCATACCTATATTGCTTTTTGTAAAGTTTAGTATTTAAATATTTTCATAGTCAACAAAACAATAGTTTTTAAGAGCGACATTAAAATATGTTTTTTTTTACTAGAATGTAAAAATAACAGGTACGCTTTATTTTTATTTAACGAGAAAGTCTGACTTTTTAAAATTTCTTGTTGTTTGATTTATATTTTAAGTTACACTTTTATTATATGTTTACTGTTTTCTGCAGTTATATTGTTTTACTTTTGAAAAGAAAACCACATTTTAATTTAAGACAAACAACATTCGTGTTTTAAATATAGATCATTCATATTTACTAACACTACATACATTTTGTAAGGCAATAAAATAATATTATACTTTTTTCATATATTATATTTTTTTGAATTTAGCGAAATCAATACAGTAGTTTTATATGCCTGTAAAATTTCTAATTTTAGAATATTAATTATAAAAGTGTGTTGTTTGTGTGTATATTATATTTCTTTGGTTTTAATTTATAACGTGATTAGCAAACTAAGGGTAGTAAAATAAATTAGGTATTACGGTGGACTTATACGCACTATTTATGATACTAATTAAAATGTCGTTGCCTAAAAGGATTTTGGATAAAACTAAACGAAACTACCGAATTTCCTTAATCGTCAAAGTCGATTACTTTTTAATAGAATTTTAAAAAAACAATAAACGTTTCCAAAAAGTCTGAAATAAATTAAATACATTCAGCTGTGCAATGAATTCAACAATTTTGTAGAAATTAAATTATTGAAGAAGCGCTGACCGCAGCATAGCGTTTAAACTACTGTCAGAGAGAATCGCAATTAGAAGATATTATGTCAAGACCAAAAGCGTGCTACAATTAAATCATATTGTCCTTAGACTTGGTCGTTCCTAATGAATCAGATCCGTCGTACACAAAACTGACAAAATTAAAAAACAGAAATCGGGGTTTTTTTTTATATCAAAGCCAATAAAGTGTATAAACTGACTTCATAATATATTTGTAAAATATCGTCTACATTTCTAATAAAAAATTGTCATGAAAATGTTTTTAAAATATATTTTTGACCAAAACATTTCAAAAAGTTTTAATTGAAATTTGTTTAAAATATCGTTATTTTATTTTAGATAAAGAAGTTTTTTTCAATTTTTTTGAACTACCGAGCGCACTATTTGAATGTTACTTCTATAAATTACGTTCAGTGAACGAAATCTTATTTATAGCTACTGATTAACATTAAATATTATTATATACAGAAATGTCTGTCGGTTCCTCGACAAAAATAGTCAAAGTGAAAAATACAATCAAATGCGAATAAAAAAAAAAAAAAACCGTCGTTGATAGAAATTAATACCTTGCCGGCTCGGCAAGCCAATATAGCACCACCCGACTTGACCACTCTGTCTGATTGCATCCCCTGTCAGGAGACTATAATATAATGTATGTATTACTATACTGTCGGAAAAGCCGGGTGGGTTTCATGATTTCGGTCGATTTTTCTTACTCCGATTTCAAAAACGTTAATCATATTTTATTATTTGTGTATATTTGCGTGTCATCGTTATCTATGTACACCCGCCGGCCGATAAATAAGGTTTTCGCGGCACACCGTTAATGAGTCGATATTATTTACTCCGGTTCGCCATGCGACGGTGAATTTATTTATAATTGCTGGTGGTTTAATATTTCAAATCGAAATACTCTACTACCAGCAGGACAGCCGGCCCTCGTCGTAAATCCACTGCGCTTGAATAGCAATAACAATAATATTATGATGATATTATATTGAAATAACAGTTCGCGCCAAGTGCCATTATACAATGGGGGTTTTTTTTTTTATTATTCTTTCGCCTAGCAGGGGAAAATACACACAATGTGCACAACGTATGCTTCACCGCTAAACAAATATACAGATATCCCAGAGAATTCTGCATAATAGTTTTTATATGATAAAGAAACGACGATAAATTGCATCGTTAATAAAATCTACTGTAAATGTGTTTGTATGAACTGAAAATATAATATGATATAATTACATAATCTGCCAGTAGTGCCTATACTACTATATAACATTATTAACGCCAGACGCAGTGCCGTTTTTAAGGAAAAGACACTTCCCCGGTGCTAATGGATTTGAGCGGACTGTTATGTTAACAGCTTAGAAATTATCATTTTCTTTAGGGGAAATTATCAGAATATTAGAATATTTTGTCCGCATTAAACTTTGGTTTTCTATACCAAAAACCGCAAAACAAAAAATAAGAAACTCATAAATTACCCATTTGGCCAAACGTTTCGACTGGCCATATTCTCTGAACCTTGTCGGACGTGTGATAAATTAAAAATATATAAGTGTAATAATGAGGACATTTGTTTTTGGTTTTTTTTAGGAACCGATTTTTCCAATTAATACAGTCCGTTCGCGTTAAAGGACGGCACGCCAATGAGCGTGTGATCAAGATAAACCATATCTGCCAATTGCATTTCATATGTAAGTACTACAACCTAATTGCCATTAATTCAACTGCAGTGTCATAACATTTTGAGGCTGTACAGTTATTTTCATTGTTCGTTAAATATTTATGATTAAGAAAAAGTATTGTAGCCATGGGCCTTAAACAGCTACCGGTTCGTCTGGGTGTTTTTGACTATTAATATGAAAAACTACAAAATTTCAAAATTGTATTGAAAATTTATATTTTAATCGATAGTCCTTTTTTAAATTAAATAATTCTCATTTTAACGAAGTTAGCCTGCAAAACAACTTTTAAAATTTAATTTTTGTCCAAGTACAACCCATCATTTAATTTTGAAAAAAAAAATTTTACAACTATACATTTTTGTTTACTTAAAAAATCTATTTTACAGAAAAACTACTGCTCAATATACTCTATTAAATCTGTATCATACTATACTAAATATAGTATAGTATATATAGTCTTATAATTATTTAATAAATACAATACCTACGACGGTTTTATTTATTTAATAGTTTTTTAAGTTATTATTATTGCTATCAAGTTAAATAATTAAAGGTGGCCGAAATTTCAGATAGACCCGACAGCTAAGATAAAAAAAGATTAATTTTTAATTTTTATGTACCGACTACTCAACTCTGCGTTGGCTAAATACTAACTTAATTTGAACAAGTTTTTATTATAATTATACAGTACAGTTTCAGTGCTTAACTGAAACAAAGTTTATACAACTTTTTTTTTTAATATAATGTAAATTGTTGTACAAATTTATAAAATTTACACCAGCCCGCGCAAGCGATGAGTATTTTTTATACGAACAAGCCTTATTGCTATATTATACTGTTTTTTTTCTTTGTTTTTTATACCACCAAGCCGCGGGTAGTGAATTTCAATTATTATTTTAATAAATATCGCGCTTTTTCAAAACTACTTAATTCAACCGAGTAATTTCAAGTGTATTTATCATAATTATTATGCGTTTAAAATATACAATTTTAAAGGACTACACTAGCGAGGCACGAGTTTATTAATAACTTGTTCGGTATAAAATTCCATAATAATTAATGAAGCATAAAACCAAAAATATAATCAGGACGACTATTCATCATTTTTTTTAAAACAAATAACAAATCTACCTGACCAAACAAATCAGTTGATAAACTTTATCTACACGAGTCGTTTATTTAGTAGACAGTATAATAGAGCAACCCAGAACGTTCTCCAGTGGAAAATAAAACCGCATTGGAATCGGATTTGACCACATCGTTTATCCGAATAATAAAAAAATATTGGGTAATTTGTATCAGACTGTATAATATCGGTTATAATACATTACGTTGTAACAATAACAAGGAATAACATAATATGATAAAAGAGCCCTACGCTGTATAAAATTGAAAATACCCGCACTTTACTCGTGACCGATTCGACTTGAATGCAAAGGAACTTAATACAATTTAAATGCAACATTTCAAACCTATCCCACTGCACAACCTGGATCGTTGGGGTATATTTATACATTTCTGTTTCTAATTTATTTTTGTAATCTTACGGCAGTGTATTTCCGTCATGGCGGCGCGTTATTTCACGGTTGGCGGCCGTTTGTATTATTCACAATAGCTATAAGCCGTAGTGTCTGGTCCGTGTGGTTAAAGAGAGAGACCGGCGGTACAAAACGTGACAACAAAACCCGCGTGTGAGCCGTGGAAACGATGAATTTAGAATGAAAAAGACAACAAATTTTCCACTTTAACCTCTCCAACCTTACCGGTCGTTGGCGCTAATGCCATCGCCGTTTTGGACGACTATACGTTTTCATCATTCCGCCTGCCTTCGCCATACAACCAACCTACCCCACGCCTTCCACCGAACTCGGGCCGACCCACAAAAATAGATTTATGTCTAAAGACGTGATGTTATTAAGTTTACTCCGGAGAAGACCCGGAGAATTCGCAGGGGAGAAAAAGTATACAGAGCGTGTATAAGTACCCCGGCGAATAACAACACTGGCCGCCCCTGTGCGGTACCCTGCAGTGGTCGTCTTGCCCGGATTAGATTAATAATTGTTCAGATTCGAAAGAGAAAAAAAACAACAACTTTTGACCTACTTTTTAAAATATTTCATTCGTATTTGTTATGTTATATTTGTTCCCGCTCTACCTGTTTACAAGCCTCGGCGTCGTTGCGATACTATAAAGATCATTACATTTATACACAAATCATTTGTCATTTCATAATTATTATTAAAACAATTTTCGTGATCGTCGTCTAGTAATTGTCGGGGGAAAATTCCACTAGTGTGCACTCGTGTGTGTAAAACTATACATTAAAGAGAGGAGGATTTTTTTATTTTGGCCCTCTAAAAAACAACCCGTGGGTTGACCTAGATATTTACCTAGAAAATATCAGTCTGCGGAGACGTTAAGCGCGTTTCAAGGTACTTTTTCTTTTTTATTACTATTATATTATTATCTCGAAGTTAATCGTCGCAACGTTTAATACCGTCCGAACCGTTAGGCACACCATTTGTGTAAGCCCATATATATATATATATATGTGTGTGTGTGTGTAGTATATACTACTTAGACTCGGACAGATTGATTACCCTCCGTCGGCACGTTCGAGTCGCAGTATAATAAACTCTGCAGAATTAATTAAGTAATGAATCCCGTACGTGCGATTAGATAAAAGGGAAATAGAAGTACGAGGGGAATAGGAGTGGAAAAGAAGACGATCCGAGCGCCTTACGGCTGTATATGTATGCAACGCACACGCGCCAACACACTGATGTATTAATATTGCATACGTCGAAACGCCGTTTGATAAGTATAATAGTATAATATTCTACGAACTCGGTAATAGCAGCAGCAGCAATAATAATAATATGTGCGGGTGTGTATGTGTGTTATCATTATTATTATTATTATTCAGCTTAAACCTATACCTAAGTACAATTCGCCCCATATAAGCCTCTTCTCAAGTTTCAAACTATGCGCGCAAAATATCCTCAATCGGCTCTGCTGACACAGCCTATTCGAGGTACTCGTCTAAACATGTATACAAAGAAGGTATTAGGATCGCGAGTACAATTATTTACCAAGAAACCCCTTACACTGCATACTAGACTGTTTCGCGCTATTCAGTCGATTGCACACTTGAATGTTACTCGACGAAATAATAATAGGGTTGGTTTAATATCATATGTCAAAGATATAAATATAAGGACATAATAATAGTATCTTTTGGCTACACTGAAAATATTCAAAGATCAAAAATATGATCAAATTCCATTGGAAACTAAATAAAATATAACGTTACAACATTTGTCAGCTGTTATTTGATTTCGACTACCTACTTATTTTTAAATATTTCTCTTTTTTCAAATCTTTGATAAGTTTAGTAGACGTCCTCTTTTTCCCTGTAGATTTTTATGCACCAATTTTGAATGTAAATACTAAATGCATTTTTTTTAATTATTGTATAATTTTCTTACAATAAGACAAAAATTTACATAAATACATCCAATATAGACATATCGCCATTATACTATATTAGTTACAAATGAGTGTATGAAATATAATTGTGATCTAAGTTAATCAACTAATAGTGTACCAAATAAAACTTGGTCAGTTTTATAGCAAATTATTTTAAATTTTCATATTTACACATATATTAGTCATCTGTTTTACGACTCATCACATCAATCACACAATAAACTTTATCTATTTCAATAGATTTTTTTAAACTTGTCATGCAAGTAGACCAACTGGATCATATAAAAAACTGTATTTGAGAAAGATTGACAAACACCTGATGATGGTTGGACGAGTGACACCCTAATGTAAATATTATATTTCTAAAGCGTAAAAAGAGATACAACCGAAAACGTACAAACTACAATGCGCAAAAACAATACAGCACATAATAGGTATAGCAACAACATATTATTCACACCGGTCATCAATCAACATAATAACACACGTTCGGGTACGGTGTTAATACAAACATGTTGTAAAATACTACGGTCGAGAATAGGTCCATTACACAAGACCGCTCGGACGGACAATTTCGGCATACATTTTTTGTTTTTGTTTCTGGTATAGAAATTTATTAGTGCTGGTCCGTAAACTCAAACTATTGGGACGTGTACAAAAAAAAAAAAATACTAATAAATTATACCGACCAACGCCACAGACCGATTTCCACGCACAAAACGCCATTACGATAAACAGAGCGCAAAAAAAAAGCATGTAAACGTTTGTTGGTTAAATTTGGAAATCTCTAAAAAAAACCCCATTAACGTGGTTAAGTGTTAAAACATAATCAACGAAATAGAATACACGGGCAGCAAATTTTCAAAAGAATAACGTACTTACGGTTTTTTCCCCGTACTTGCACATAATATTCAAAACCGAGACGATTGTACTTGACGTTTTGTGTGGAACGCTTGTAAAAATCAACCACTTGATCTTTGGAGGTAAATGTGACATCAGATTTTCTCTTGCACACTCCCTGGCACTTATCCTTGTAAACCCAATCTGTCGTGTCAAATCCCACGGGATAATTTTAATTTTATACATCAACTGTTCCGCACTACAGCGACAATCCCAGTGGCGTTTTAGCAAATATCCCAATCATAGAAACGACGATGGAATATTAAGCTATTTATATTTTAATTTTTTAATTACATGTCGCAATAACTCCTTACACCTTAACACCTTGTCCAGGATTATGGAAAAATTTCATATGAAAATAAACGCTACCAAAACAAAAACAATAACAGCACGAAGAGATCAGATTATACTCACCCGACTATAAAAAAAAAACAACATAGTAATTCAAGAAGTCGAACAGTTCTGCTATTTGGGAAGCACAATTACGTATAATAATGAATCCGCCATTGACATCAAAAAAATAATAACTCTAGCCAAACAAACGTTCATGAAGAAATACAGTCTATTAACAAGCAAACGCTTCAACATCGAAACTAAGAAAAAATGCATTAAAACATTTGTATGAAGTGTGTTGTTATATGGATGTGAAACCTGGACCATCAGGAAAAGCGAAAGGGACAGTTTAGAAGCAATGGAAATGTGGATCTGGAGAAAAATGAACAAAACATCATGATGGGTTGAAAGGAAAACAAACGAGGAAGTGTTAAAAGATGTAAGAGAAAAAATGGATATAATAAGACACATATTAAAAATGAAAACAACCATTCGTGTATGTAATCTTGTTCTTAGGCGCTAAGATACGCCAAGTTTTGTAAGCACATAGAAATTATTACACAATTATAATGTCTACTATGGTCACTTTTTTTTAGTGATAACTAACTTGAAAAAGAAAAATTCGTTTCTCCCTTGAAGGAAAAACATTGGATCATAAATATGTACTCTTATGGTGCCTGTAAGGAATTTCAATATACCAGATAAACCTTGCCCCGTCATTTCATATACATATTATTAGTTCATTTTCCTTCGTTCCCTCTAACAACAATCTTCAAAACCTTTGTTCTCCCAATCTTGACGTTTAAATTAATTTACATAGTATGATTATGCCTATGACCGCAAAGTTCTACAACTGTGATTTTTCTCAACTCTAAACCTATATTCAGAGTCTCCAAACGTTTCTGTCATTTTAAAGAATACGGCCGCCCGGTAAGTTTTTGGTTTTGAGTTACTAAAATAATTAATAATCATAAAAGTCGTCATTCGCCGTGCCAATGGAGACGGCGGCGGAAAGTCAGGTTTGGAAACTACCAGCTTGGAAACTTTGAGCAGTTATTTTGACATTTTGATAAGACGTCCGAATAATATTTCTGAACCGACAAGAATAATTAATTATCCATCATCTAACCTAACCCGTAATCGTTAGTGCCTTTATGTTGTTGTGGCTTTCAGCCAAAGCGGATGAGAGCGCACACGACTATACTGACAGCCATGTTGGGCCCTTGTAAGCACTTTTGTGTTGACAGTAAATTTTTCTTAGTTATTTTCAAGCCATAACTCGTTAAAACATAGAAATAGTTTAATAGTAAAAATCGTTGTTGATACATTTGAAATAAATTGAAGGGTTTTTAGTGCAATCATTGCTATGAACTCAGGTTCCAATGTCCTGGATTCACTTGTGATACAAACATACCTACTTTATCAATATACATGAGTATACTTTTTCTTATTTGTGTGTTTGTTATTAGGCTAACAATAATGATCAAATAGACGAAACATGAAAATCGATTACATAATATACTGTTTGGTGTAATTTAGTTAAAAAATTGTTAGTAATCAAATAATTATTTGACGTCCGCTTATACACCATTATAACCGTGTAATCGTATACATAATTCAACGATATTGTCTAATAAATATTTTATTGCTAAATTATACTGTAAACAAGAAGTTTAAAAAAAAATCACTAGCGCTACGCGGTATTCGATTAAATATTCAATAAGAGCAAAACCTCGACATAAATAAACTATTATGTATTAGCTGGGCTAATACAATAAAGGAAAATAGGTCGTTCTAACCACATTTTTTTCCATTAAGATTAAAACTATAATTTAAAACAAAAAATTGGGGGAAAGTTTTAATTAGAACATAATATCATATCATATTATAAAATACATATTATCATTTATAATACACAACTGACCAAATCGACCAGTAAATTCAATAAAAATAGTATAGTTGACTTATCAATATAATAAACATTTGTTGAATCGGAAATAAATCATGGTTCATTTAGCCAATAGACTAATTAGACTACTTGGTTTGTTCCACAAATATCCTGTATATATTTAAATTATTGTAGATTTACATTTTGTTTACTTTTGTAGTCTGTAGACAACATAATACTGATTGAGGATTTAGTTGAATTAATAATTGTTTTATATTCTAATCAATGGCATACAATTCTTACTTGAATAATGATAAAATCGAACATTTTGTAAAAGGTTTTTTACCAGCTATTTTTTAATTGTAACAAATATCCTATTGTTAAACATGTAAGTTAGTATTAATTGTAATAATTTTTAGATTGGTGTAGTATGTACAATATAAACCGTGGCCATTATTTCACATTATTTTGACATTGTTCGTCCTATAAAGGAATACTAACGGTCGGGTTTGACTAGAGTATAAATTATTTTACTGGTGATCATAAAATAAATATTTAATGGTTTGTAAATAATTTGACCGGTAGTATGTCTACCGGATGATCCGTTAACTGCGTTTTTTCTCTCCATATTTTAACTCTTATCGACGAGGCAGACTAATGACTAGTATAAAATAATAGAAGTCAGCTTCACTAACTTTTCCGTGTAATTTAACTATTTAACAGTATACTAAAAAAAAAAAAAAAATTATCTATCTGCTGCACACATTTATTCAACCGTCATCTTCAATCGGTATATACTTGCTACTCCGAAATTGCGTTTAAGTTCCTATACTTTCGGTAAACGTTAAAACAATTTATTTCAAAATCAAACACCAAATGACCCGTTTGCAGTATTTCCATCAGCGATTCCATTTTCGGACGATCATTGACGTGGTGTAGCATTTTCATAAACTTAACCAAGTGGAAAAAAACCGAGCGACATCCTGACAGCATTTTAATGAAAATGGAATGAAAAAAATCACATTTTTCACGGTAGCGCGAACACACAACAATCAAAAAATAAATACATTTCTGACAAATGCGGTACAATATAACCGAAGAATGGTACAAAAAACAAAACGCAAAAGGAACGCCATTCGAGTTGTATTCGAGTGATTGCATATTATATGATTTTCAAAATACATTCGAAAACTTACAATCTATAACCAGCGACACGTGTATCATTTGAATATTGCCAAACCGATTGAACACAGCACTCAACATGCGCTGTGCAAATAATGTCAGAACTAAATTGTAATTTATATATGCAATGTACGAATGCCCAATAGAACTTCCAATTTTACTGGTAATTGCCCACCACACTGAAACCCTCCCAACTTATTACAGACTTCACATTTTTTTCAAAGCCACTATCGCTTTTAACACCGATCAAGAACTATTAAAAACCTTTAGTAGAATTTTTCTTTTAAATATTGCTAGTTTTTTTTTCAACCTTTGTCAAAGCCTACGACTCACAATAACAGACACGCGAGCACACAACGCAATGACCGGAATACGGTACTAGTTTGGATTTAAAATCTTTTCTTAACGCAACAGAGCATTTATTAGTTTTATTTATTTTGTCATTGGTATAGTATTTATTTCTGAGTGTATCTCTTATTAACCACAATTATTGTCAAAAAAAAAAAAATGCAAAAGTCTATTTAAAAATCTATTGTTACACACACATTACATTCCGTTTTCCTCGTTCCTCTATGTATTATTTCTTGTATTGCTCACTTTATTACTGTCAACACTGATATCTCTTTTTTTTTTTGTTTACCAAGAGACTTCTATCTATAAAATTCCATTTATTTTCTTTCTATTATTGTTGTATTGAGATTATACTTCTAATTATTCATTTTGAACTTGGCCCGTTCATATTAGAGGTCCCTATTACACGTGTATTCGATTACACACGAAACCCGTGTAATTAACATACACGTGTATATACACGTGTATTCAAAAACATTTATTTTTGTTGTTAATTTTAGTTTTACGTTTAATATAACGTCTATTTAATTATACGAACTCAAACACAAGTATAATTGTGTAAATACGTTAACTCAAACTAAAATCGTTGACAAAATACATTTTTTTAAGCACACGTGTATTTATAATTACACGGGTTTCGTGTACACGTGTGTTTAAATTACACGTTTAAAATCACAGACACTAGTTCGTAATGTAATAACAAAAAACTATTGTTGGCGATTCGATTTTTGCTTTCTCAAACAGGAAGCTACAGCTGTTATATTCATTTCTAGCGTAAGTAGAATTCGTTTTTGAGGAATTCGTGAGGTGCCCAATGATTTTCGTTTTTCTTCCTTCATGATTCGTTTTTCGTTTTTGCCAACAGCGGCGGCGGCGGCGGGTGTTTCAACATTGAGCGGATGAAGTTGCCCCCATGATGCCCGTTATGCTGATCCAGCACCACTTGGCCGCAGACATATTCGAGTGCTTTACCGTTCGGATGACGGTATCTCATTCACCGGCACATCGGGCAATGCGCTACTACCGAATCTGGATATACACGTGCAACACCGTACTACTGGTCTGCGTCGTCTGCTTCGTGGTGATCGCCTGCCGGCTGGTGGTCGCCGACCAACGGCGGCACCTTGTTCCCGACCTAAACCTGGCCCACCCTAGCCTGTTGTACGCGTACGCCGCGCTGGCGGTCCAGTGCGGATTCCTGCAGCTGGTCGGCTGCCTGGGGGCGCGCACGCTCAACGAGCGGCTGTTGAACATCTACTGGCTAATGCTGCTGGGGCTGCTCATCGGCGACGCCGTGCTGGGCGTGTACTGGGTGTACAGGTACGACAAAATGGTCGCCAAACTCAAACCGACCCTGCGGCACAGGCTGTCCGCCGACTTCGACACCGACCCGGAGTTCACCGTCATCTGGAACGCCATGCAGCGCGAGCACAACTGTTGCGGCGTGGACGGGCCCCAGGACTACTTTAATGGCACTCTACAAGTCGGTAAGTGAAAACGGCTGGAGACGAATCCCACGTTGTACTGACCCGTTAGCACACGTTAGCTGATTAGGTACATGAGTTACTATAAAAAAAAAAACCACATGGACCGCGAGTGTCTTCAAAATACAACCCCTTATATTGGTGACAAAAAGTACTGCACGAAAGTGTATAGGAACATGGATATGTCTTAATATACATAGTATAGGACCCTGGTACTTTGGCCAATATCCTAGAAAGGTTAGAAGCTATAGTAGAAAATAACTTAAGCAGTATGTAAACAGACGAGAGGCGAATTTAAGACAAAGAATCTGAATGCCGGTCTAAAGACGTGAGGTGTTAAGTTTTCAAATAAAAGTTTTACAACGACAATGTTTTACAAAGACAACTTGTTATAAACTACACCCAACCATTAGCTAGAAAACTCTATCAGTAATTTGTTAAATTGTACATACTGATTTACTAACTCTAAGCCAACATAACTTAACTAGTTTTATAAAAACTAATTAAATACTTAGTATAACTGCGGACACGTGGATTTACATTTTTTTAACATACGCTTTAAGTAACGTTGAGCCGTTCATAATATTTTGAAATTTATGTTTGATGATGACATTATGAGATTATGATGCATAATGAGACCAGAACTTTCCTTCTAACCCATCCCGTTAAAACGCAGACGGTTTTTTTAAGATAAGAAGAGACTGAAGAAAAACCACATACATTTTTACCGTCCATAAAAGTTCCGTTAACACTAGTCGCACCAGTTTTACGTCTTACGTATATTTTATTGTAGCTTGAAGTTCCATCAAAACTGTGCAAAACTTTTCAAACTCATACATATGTAAATAATACTTAATACTTTTTTTTGTCGCACACTTTCTACAAATAGTTTCACAAAAAACTGCAATAAGAATGCACTGAGATAGAAAGGGATGGAAAAACACACACAATAAACAAAATGGTTAAATGTAATCATAATATAATGAATGAATGATGTAAGTGTGGAAGTTTTTGGCAACAGCTTCAAATGTAGGTTGAGAATAATTATAATACGAATGGTGACTCAATTAGTACGTGGTAGTAGTGAGGAATTAAAAGACAGGTAATATAACAGATAGATACATTGGATAAAACGGCTACGCATAACCAAATCTAAAACGGAATACTTTTATGTTGAGTAACGCCAAGTTGTACACTGCCCTGCTAAGCAAAAGTGACCGCAACTAGAAAAAAACCAGTTGGCAACAGAAACTAAGTACAATATCGGTTTTTTTACCAAGTTTTAATCGGATTTTGTCTCATTTTGTTTTTTTTTTGTTTTTAGTAGAACGTCTCGCAGACTACATGGCCGTGGTGCCGGACAGCTGCTGTTACCATCAACCCGAGGTGATCGCTTCGCCTTTCAGGAGGGACTACTGGCCGCCGTTGTCGACCACGATAGCCACGTTCACAACCGTGCAAACAGACGAACACGACAACATGGAAGAGATGCCGATCAAATGCCGGTTGCCCGCCCACCGATACTTTCATCCGGGCTGTGAACGGGCGCTCATGGCGTGGATGCGCAGGAGCGCCGACGTTCTGTTCGTCCTGGGTTACTGCGTCATATCGTTCTTGAAGCTGTGCTTCCTGGGCATCTTGAGGTGAGTGACACGCTGCAGTGAATCGCTGCTAGCCGCGGCAGTCTAAAGCGGCCGTCGCACGTGTTCCAGGTACGAGATACGAGAGATGATACAGAAGATCAAGATACTGCACGGCGATGCGGCCCGGCTAGAGTTGGTCAGCGTGCCCCAAGCGGCCGGCAAACTGTTGCAAAAGGTAGAGCACAACGGCAGCGTAGTGCGGGTGTCGAACACGTCCCGGCAAGACACCATAACAGGCGAGTAGGACGGGCGTTTATTTTAAATCGTCCGCAAATATTGAACCACCGCGTGTACTATGACCGGGGCTCGGAACTTAAAGCATTTGCTTATTTTTTTTTTTGGATTAACATAAAACGTAGCAGAGCGCTACACAAGTTTATGGCGGCACGCTACAACGATTTATTACATCAAATTTGAAAGTGCTTTTTTTTTGCTAATTTGGAGGTTTTTTTTAGAAAAAAAAAAATGCTTTTTCATAGTTTTTTCCGCTTTTTTTGCTTATCTTCTACATTTAAGTACATTTAAAACACAATGACAAATATTCCAGCGCTGTATAAACGCCGCATTGCGAAAAATCAAACTATGACTAATTCCTGGTATTTCGGCGGTATTAATACATCATATATTGTCTAAATAGTACCGTAATGCGATAAACACAAAAGGTAAGGGATAACGTAATATTGATTAATGATTTGTCCGTCTCGGTCGCGGGTTTGTATTCAAACCGGTTTTTATTGTAGTCTTGGAAAATAGGCAAAAAACATCTAGTATTTATAAGGGGACATTTTTTTACGGAATACCGCGTTTTTCGTGGTAAGTAGGAGGGTTAATATTTTTGAGATTGCTTTTTTTTTTTGAGTCCTTATAGCGAAGTTTTTCAGCGCTTATATTGATGATTTTAAGAGCTTTGAAGTGCCGAGCCCGGAATTCATGACGATTGCACCGTTTTGACATTGTTGCCTTGCCGTTTACAGAAGCGTGTACGGAGGCGTCTAAGCCGTTGTTCAAAGGTCGTTCGGTGGAAGCGACGTTCAGGGTAAAGTCGTCGAATATGGACGGCAACGAGTCGGATACCAACAGCCACAGTGCGTTGCTGCTGTGCGACGACAAACACTTGACCGGCTCGTCCAGCAAGAGCAACTACGAGCTGCACGAGCTGAGGGACGTGAACCGGTTGCTGATCACCAGACACAAGAACCAAGTATGACTACGGCAATGCGTGGCCGCTTGGTTCAGCTTGATCGAGAGCAGCAACCGCAGCAAGTTCCCGTTACTGACGATGCCCAAACAGCATACGAGTTATTGATAGACAGTAAGAACATAATTCAAATTAAAAGAAAACACTAAACCCTCCAAAAAAAAAAAAAAAAAAAAAAAACCTTTAATTTATTATATAAATACCTCATACTATATTACGTTCAAACGGGGTGTACAACAATTTTTTATACTTCTTCCATTCGACGTTATATTATTATTATATTGTCTTTGTGAGCCACGAGGGCATATGTGCGTCAAAGGACACTTGGCTTCTGTTAGTGTGTATAAATAAACAAGGGTCAATCTCGATTTTCCGGTTGATCGAATTACTGTATAACGGCGAACTGTTGATACTGTTTAATAGAGAACAAAAAAAAACCACAACGGTCGTTTTCAAAAACGACCAAATGTGACCCTTTTTAGACCCAGTCCAAGGTCTCCGTTCCCGAAGGGCTTATAGAAGCTAAAAGGACCAAAGTCCAAGACACTTTTTAATCATTTTTACGATACTATAATGTGGGTATTCTAAATGTGTTTAGATAATAAACAATAATCGAAAATTGGACACAAAGTGACATCATCATAACTTTTGCCGTTTAACCGCAGACATTTAATTTGTAATTTTGAATTTTGTAATATAAAAACATATTTTAACATATTTCAGGTATACCTGAAAAAAAAACTGAACAATATAGTTTGTAAATAATAAATTTTAAAAATTTTGTTAAAAATACATTATAAAGAAGTAAGAAGTGAGATTAGAAGATCTTAAACCGTCACGCCACAGAAATCCAGGTTCACTGTGATATTTACACAGATGGATTAGTGCATATATAATATTATATCCTATTAGGGCGGTCTTTATTTACTTTTATTTTGTTTTTTGGAGCTATCGCCCGTCTCTCTGAATTTATTTATTGCCTTTAAAACGAATGTATGCCAAATTCGAACTAAATGGAATATGTGGAAATAATGGAATGTATGCAAAGCATTTCAAATACTTATCATATTTCTCAGTTAGCTTAGGCACATAATAAACATTTATAAATCGGTGTATTCAAGTGAAAGTTTACTGGATATAATTTCATTCTTGCCTGAATGTAGGGGAATATTTTATTAGGCTTCACAGCCCTATCTAGGTAGTGAAATTGTTAAATTAAAACCATTTATTTGATGGAAATGCTACAAAATAACCTTCACAGCATCGAATCTCTTAAAATTGAATAATATAATTTTGTTCTGGAAAAAACCACAGAAAAGTGAAAATAGAGACTTGTACTGAATAAATATGAACATTATTGTGATAATTGTTTTTACAATTTTTTTGGGGGATTTTTTTTTAACAGCATAATTCTTTATTTCAAACACGATTTTAACACAATAAATGCAACACAATATTTGTTTGTTTTCCAATGAATACCAAATTCGACACAACTTTTGCCCAAATCTGATTAAATTCATAAATTCTATACAACATTTTTGCCTTCATAAGTTTTGCAGTTGTGGAAAAATTAGAATTTTTTTTTTTTAAAGCTCAATCTAGTTAGGTATTTTTGGGTAAGGACTTGTTATTTAAATACCAAACATATGGTGGGTTATGAAAAAACCACTTTTGTTTGGAATTTTTTTTTTTTTACAATCTTTGTGATTGGGCTTCGAGGTCATTCAGGTTTTGGTCCATTCTGTTCAAATTTAGCGGACAGAATTGCTTATACAAAAATTGACGGGTGGTAAGATACTAAAGCACAAAAATCGATGGAATAATTTAGAACCGCCCTAACATACCCTAAACTCAAAGGAATAGTTTTAATTTTTTAATGAAATGATTGTCAAGTGCATGAGAACAAATAAAAATGATTGTCTTCGGAGACTTTTTTCTTCTTCACATAAACTGTACAATGTTCTTCTTAGAGTATTAAAATTCTTCTTGGCGATTTTTCCTTTTGCTTGAAAAGAAAAAAAAACGTTATTGCGACCACAAAATACATTACACTAAATTAACGTAGTTTTTTCTTATTTTTATTTTTATAAACAGAAACTCCTATCGCCGCGTTAAAATCCCAAATGCCCAACAGTGTATATAACAATATAGATAACGTTGTTTACAAAACTTAACTGTACCGTTAAACAAAATTATGTGTTTTGCATAAGAAGAGAGGAAGACAATATAGTGCACAAACGACTCTCGACTTCTAATTTGTCGCCAGAATATCATAACTACTTAGATGATAACATTTTTTTTTTCGAGACATCTTTTTTATTTACTTTTTTAAAGTCGGATTTCACAATTTCATGTTATCCAAATAAACACATCTGTTAGGTACCTGTTCCAATGATAAATATTGCAACATTACTTTTGATTTAATCGTTGCTTGCCACTCTCATTTTCTCTCTTCCTGAAAAATATTCTATGCGTTTATTATTATTCTCTATTAGCTAGATGTGCTTGAAATAAAAATGATCTTGTTCGAATAATAATAGTTCGAAATCCGTTTTTTTTTTTGTTTAAAAAAGTGTGATTTTGTTATAACCCTTACCTATGCAAAAAACATTAGTGCGTTTGATTAACACATTCTCATTTCACTACCAATGGTTCGTTATATACTAAATAACAATTTCAATACATTTTATAACTTTTAGGCTTTCGAAATTCAAGTACGGCATGTCTGAAAAAAATAATTTCATAAATATACACCTATACAATCTGTATTGGAAATAAAAACTAAAGCTTCAAATACTGATGTTTTTTTTTTTTTTAATATTATATGTCGAAACTTTTGTAATGTACATTATAATTTATAATAATTAATCTACCGACATTCAGTTAAACCCGTCGATGAAACTACAATGACAAAACCTAACCTAGCCTGATTCGCATAGGTCAATGGGAAATGACAAAATGAACCATAATAGTCAGCAGGCAGGACCCAAAGTTGTAGGATTTTGAGAATCCCCAATTCGATTTCCTTGAACAAATTGTAAGCCTATTAAACCATTTAGATTAGGGATTTCTGAAATATTTTTTTGGGGGGAAATTTTTTCACGCTTTGATAGTCAGTGTACACATACTACGTGCAATATTTCTAAGTACTTATTTAAGGATTTTGAAATACCTAACTATATATTTTAATTTACTGTTGTGCTTATTTAATACAAATTTCTATTACTGTAATACTTCTATGATAATGTAAAAACTTGGTGAATTCATTATTATCGTTCAAGTGTGAAACACGGCTATTAAGCAAATCGGTCAACAAACTATGCAAAAATAAATTTGTTACAAAAGTAGCTAAAAAAAAAAAAACACATAGATACACCTACCTCGTTAGAATAAATTTAATACCCATACAGAAACAACACAGACAATAGAATATTTATGTTATAATATAAACTACCTAAATAAATATATATATAGACACTTAGGTAAACTTCCTACGCCATTCTGATAGCGATAAAGAAAATTTCCAGATGACATGTTTTTCAATCGACCTTTAAGAAAAAAATTAACTAACAAGTATACAACCCAATAACCGAGTCTTTCTTAATTAGTATAATTGAATTCTGTGTAGTCTAAAATAAATGTATCGTTTTTAATTCTTAATTGTTCTAGCTTAAACTTTCTATATAGGTAATTAGTATATTATTCCATGTTTTATATCTATTATTGCTTACCAACAGTTGTGTATAATACAATCATTGGAAATGTATATGTAAGGAAAGTTTGACTGTACACTAGCTAAACAGTGATTAGGTATATTTAAATCATTTTTAGTTAATTATAAATAAATAATGTTGTACAAAAACATACATTATAAACTTTGTAATCTTTTTTTTTTTTTTTTTATCCATTCCTATAATTATTATTGTAATAATTGAATATTAATGTAACGGTTTATCGTTGTTATGATTTTGAGTTGTAAAGCTTAGAATTATATATTATAACTAATCCATATTATATTATTATGTTGTAATAATTTTCATTTTTTTAATATCAATTGTTATCTGTACATGTTGATTAATTAAAAATGCTTTAAATTTCATTAATTTGATTTACTAAAATCAAACGCTCTTAATACGATTATACTAAATTTTAAAAGCTGACATAGCTGTGCACTAACCTTTAAATCCTCTTTGACTTGGAGTACATAGTCGACATTGCTACCACCGATGACAACCTGAAGGATAAGAACAAGTACAAAAAAAAAACATATAATAATAACTAATAAATTATAACCAAAAATTTGCACAGTAAAATTAATACCTATATTTTTCAGTCTACAATAAAATAATAGGAAAAAAAAATAATAACAATTTTGGCTGTGATAACTTGGTTGGAAAAAAAGGTGGCATCGGTATTGACAGTTAGGTGTTCACATTATGCGATTCAGAGAAAAATGTATGAGATAATATGCCAATGAGAGACGATAAGGAACAGGACAGAAGAATAAGTAGAACCAAATGGGATTTTGAAATTTTGACTAAGCAATAAGCTATTAGTCATATGTTAACGTTGAAAAAGAGTCGATCCCGGTAAACCCTTAGGATGTTAAAGCGATATGCTGCAATATACAGAAATTGTCTCCTGAACTCTCTCAAGTGTGGCATTGGCGCTAAAAGTTAAAGAGTAATTATATTTTAATAGGAAATAGATTATAGTAACTATTGCAAGAACTAGAAAAGTATCATATATAATATGTTTGCCATATGCTGTAGGTATAATATTATTTTATTACGGGTGAGTTCTTCTTTTTTTTATGCGTTGTTGGCTGGCTCAGAATCCACGGACCGTTGTAGTTTGTAGACATTTTTGAATAATATTCCATTGCAATTTTACTTCCAACCATAGCATTATTTTTCAACAATAAAATATCTAAAAATGTTGTTAATAAGTTTAGAGACCGCTTTGAAAGTATTTAAATATATTAAAATATGTATATATTCTCTTACTCGATTCCATCGACACTCCTTTCGTCACCCGACTGACTTCGCTTAAAATAAAAGGTGTAACATTCTTTCCGGTAATCCCTTGTTTGTTACATAATTGCAAAGCGTTTTCAACCGCTAAATCAATGTCTGCTTCTTAAAAACCATTTGGCAATTAATTATTGTTAGCTAATAAAGTACAGCGATAGTATTACTCTGTATTTTCTCTTCAGGTATTGGAACCGCTAGTAAAACGCCAGAGTCGGTGTTCTGGCACTGTTCTAAGAGACCGGCCGCTTCAGAAGGCGATGTCACGTCACATACGGTTTTGTAGCCACTTTCTTTTGTATAAAATGCTGGAAACTCTCCTTTGGAGTTATACGACGCAACACAAACTCCAACAGTTTCCTAACATTCATACATAGAGACTATTATAATTGTATAACTATTTTATTAATAGTATAATATTTATACTTACGAGGTACTCTAAAGTTCGACCGATATCTAGTATTGATTTAACACCGGCTGATATGACCATTATGGCACATCTAGAAAGCTCTAATAAATCAGCACTAATATCCAAAGAGTTCTGGCCGTCTCTATGAACACCTCCAATTCCGCCTAAACAAAAATTACATAAATTATATAATATATTATGTACTGTACAGAAAATTAAAAACGCTTGACCTAAGCAGCTCGCATAAAAAAAACAATGATTAATTTAATATATCGTTAAACAATTAATAAAAGTCCATGCAACCCAACTGAACAAACATTTATAACTATATTGAATGTTCCCAGTCGCTTCATATGCCTCTTGAGTTTAAATACATTTAACATGGGTTCTTAATAGATTTTTTAGTTAAATATTTTTTTTTTCATAGTAAAGGAAATAGTTTATTTACCCGTAACAAAAAACTTGATGCCTAAAGACTTAGCAACGACTAATGTTCCAGATACTGTTGTGCCTCCATTTAAACCCTATAAAAACCAAATTAACAGCTATAGTTATAATACGTATATAAAAAAAATTCAAAAATTATTTTAAATTTATACTTTAATATCGTCTTACTTGGCTGAGTACATATGGAAAATCCCTTCTTGAAACTTTAACAGTCTTCTTCTTAGGGTCCATACCGAGTATATTTAATTGCTCTGGTGTCATACCGACTTTGACTCGTCCATCGATCACGCCGATCGTTGCTGGAACAACGTCCTGACCAACAACAACGCACAACACAATCAGCAACTTCACTAGTAAAACTAATATAAATTATAAAGAATAAAATACAATTTACATTAGATTTAATGATTTTCTCCATTTCCAAAGCTGTGTCCACATTATGAGGGTAAGGAAGTCCATGCGTAACTACAGCCGACTCTAAAGCGATAATTGGTTTGCGGTTTTTTAACGCGTTCCTCACTTCTAGTGCGACGTCTATGGAATTACTGGAGAAACAACGGTACATGCATCGAAAATTGATATACATTTTTAAGTTTGCTAACAAAAGATTTTAACTATAGATACATATTTTATTTTTTAAACTATTCAATACTATTAACTACTCTACAGCACAAAGTTTGTACACTTTTCCAATATTGAGCTACTATTATTTTTTGTATGTTTCAGTTGATTATGATAGTAGATACTGTAATATTATTACCGGGTAATAATGTTTCATACAATCATTTTAAACTTAAATAATAATATTATTTAATATCATAATATTCAAACCGTATTAAATTTGACCTTTGTACTTACCATCATGACAAAAGCAGATAAGCACACCATTTATAATATTATGATGTTAAATTTAAAACTACTGAGTACCAATAATGATTTAAAACTATATAATATTGTAAAATATCTGAAAAGTAAAAGAGGTCACTTATTTTAAACAACGCAAATGAATATGTAAAGTAATAAAATGTTTTTGTGTTGTATCCACATGAATAAAAAAAGAAAGAAAGAAAGTTATAATGAACTCTATAAACCGTTTACACTCCCGAAATCAAGAACAGCCTAAAATATATTTACATAACAATAAAATATTTTTTATATTGAACTAATAAAAAATTCTTGACAATAAAAAAAAAAAGTTGTTAACAAACTTTAAAATAATAAAATGCTTGCGCTAACAGCTAGTAGTAACAGATATACTTCATATTATAAAACTTGTTTTTAAACAAACCAACCACAAATATTTATTCTTATAAAAAAGAAAAATGGTAGAAATAATAAGAAGTGTAAATAAATGATAAATAATAAAAATAGCTTTATTATGAGGTACCTGATATAACATTTTGAATTTCTATGAAATCCGAATACCTAATCGATGTTACAAAATGTAAACCATTTTAACGTTATAAAAATGTATTCTGCAAAAAGTATTTTATAAATGGTCTCGGTAAAACATTTTGTTAAAATGATTTTTAAGAACAGGAATTTTATAGTTTTTGGAAGAAAATAGTTCTAACGCAATACATTGTTTACCCATTTATTGTACTCGGTTTTTCATATACCAATTAAAAATTAACAATAAATTTACTTGAGTGCTTTAGTGTTGTGACTTGTGACATGATTTGGCTTCTAAATTTGTTAATTAGCTCTTGTAAATAACACTAATTATAATTTGGGATGGATTTACGGGCTCTTTTCAAAAGTCCATTAAAAAAAAACGCCCACAAGAAATTGTATTTTTAATAAAAATATTAAAAATTCAATATCCCCATTTAGATTTGGTCAACATTTTTAACAAAAAAGAACTAATTAAAAAAAAAATAAACACTAAAATCAAGGTTCAAATTAAAAAAACCACTTTACTAAAACGTATTGCCGTCAAACATTGAATTGGATACTTATGCAATCAAAAGACACCTAACGAAAAGGCAAGTTGATCTCAAATTTATTTAATATAAAAAATAATAATGTGAGAAAAATGTATTATTTGTAAACCTATGTACCAAACTAATGAAAAAAAATAGTTGACAATTTTTCAGTCTTGGAAAAAAAATGTACGAGCACACGAATAAAATTGTAAGAGTTCTGAATGTAATTGGATGTTTCTTCATTAACAAGAAAAACAAATTACTAAATTACAATCGAATTATAAAAAAAAATATTTAACATTATAAAATAATACATTTTATAATGAAAAAAATTATAAATGAAGTACAGTAAATAAAAAAGTACAATTATACAAGTTCTAACTCGTACCAGAGTTAACTTTATTTTATATATATTTTTGTAAAAAAAAATCAAACTGATGAGAATATGATAAAAAGAAACATTTAAAGTAAACACTTTAGTTTTCAATATATATTTTTTATACCATTATAATATACTATACATTATATAGTATATAACATAAATTATACAGATTCGTCTAAAAATTATAAAAAATCCTAAAAATAGTATACCGCCATAATATATTCGGTAAAAAATAATTACTTAATTTATTCAACCTAAAAAATATAACAAATTAGCACATATTTTATTTTTTTACTAAAAATAATACATGAAAATAATTCCAACTTGGATGATAAAAATGTAATTGTCCAAGATGATAATATGTACACATATTATATAACTAAAATATTAGGTATCAATATTGTAAGATGTATACATATTTAAGCAATTACCCAGCTCCACCAAAGCATATAACCAATAATATTATACAAAATAAATAAATAATTAATTAAATATTTTTTTTTTTTAAACTAGAATATTTTAGCATTAGTTAACGACACATTTAAATGTCAAAAATAAAAAACTTACAAAGTATAAATTATAGAACAAACTATTTTATCATTATAATATAAATACGTTTAATTTTAATATGTACATTGGTATAAGCAAATTGTTGAACAAATTTTCGTTAGTAAAAATAATCATATTTTTAATACAGTTATCTAAAAAGTTATCTAAAAATTAATTTATAGTTTTCATAAAAAAACAATGTAATATTTGGTGGCGTTTAAAAATTGTGAAAATCCTGTGATAAGACATTAATTGTTTTGTATCGTATATTTTGTACTTAGGCTTAATGCAAGGCACACTAACATACAAATTATTCAGTTAAGTGAGAGCAGTCACTTGATCTGTAAATAGTTGGTATCAAAAATAGTGAAAATACTTAGAAGTTAATAAGGTTTATTTAAATTATTTTTAAAGTTTTCGGAGGTCCAATACAAACACCTGCAATAATGAAAATTCAATTAATTTTCAATTTATGTTTATAGGCAAATGATTGAACACAAATCATTCCACCACAATTTGTTAACCAATTAGATATAATTATATATATATATATACTTACACTTCCGTCAGATGCACTCGCACCCACTTTATCGCCTCTGGAATTCCAGCAAACTTCGAAAATGCCACCCGTACCTCTGTAACTGTGAACTAATTGACCGCTCTGCAATAAAAAAAAAAATGTCAAGTAAAAATATAATTGGGCAAAAAAATAAATTAGTAAAAATATATTTACCTGTGTTGACCATATGTGGACACACTTGTCAAAGCTACCGGATGCCAAAAATTTTCCATCTGGCGAAAAAGCTACACTGTACACAGGTTCAGTGTGCTTGGTCAAAGTATGTAAGCACGCTCCACGTTCAACATCCCACAAACGTACAGTTGAATCAAACGACGCACTGAAATGTAAAATAAATTATGAATTGTTTAACTTGCCACAAATTGATATCATAAAAAAATGTAGTAAACAAAATTTTAATATCAAACTAACGATATGATTTGTAATTTAAAACTCCTAAGTAAGAAAAACAATGCACGAAATGGTAGAAATAGTGCTTGTAAACAATATCTTTTGTCAGTTTATACATCATTTCCACCAACACTATTTTTTGTTACATGGTATTTTTATTATACAGTTTATATCAATATAAAAAAATAAAAAACAAAATTATTTGGTTGACAGATAACTTTTTTCTTTTACCAAACTACTGTTATAAGCATGTCTATTTGTTTTTTTAATCGCCTCCAAAGCTGTAAACAATGTATAAAACCAACAAAAAAAAACCTATAAATATTATGTTAAATTCCAGGATAGTTATAAATTCAACAAAAAAAATTAAAAGAATAGTAAAAAACCCTGTTTAAAATCAATTTTAGAAAATTATTCATACGTACTGAACAGCTAAAATTACCTGAAAACGTATTTTTTTACAATTATTTTAAGATTAAATAGACGTGTTAAAATAATTCTAAGGATGAATTTGCATTAGCGAAAAAAATAAAAACATGTATTTTGCTTTTTAAAAAAAAAAGGTTAAATTTGTATTGTGCCTTTTTATGTGATTTTTTAAACTTATGTTTAAAAACAAAAAATAAACAAGAAACATAAACAAAATTGTAACAAAAAGCAATTTTAGCTTTCTACTTCTTTGCCTAATCTCATACAAATAAGGTCGACTACATATTTGACTGGGTCTTTTTTTTATACACTTTTTCTATTCTTTAAGTCCATTACCATAAGTCTATGCTAAGTCACTACACACCCTCCTGGAATTACTTTGCAATCTTTACATTCTTTTGAGTTATTTATAAAATAGTCTCGATTTGTGACAATACGCTTTTTATTATTTTTTTAATGTATTTACTACTGTCAAATTGTATGCCTCATCATACCCCAAAATGTCCCCTCTTGCTTTATTTTTACTTCCAATCTCAAAACCTCTACTATTTATTTCTTCAGTGACCCGTTTTCCTACTCCAACAAGTCATTTAAGTTTCCTTCCAGTAACATTTTTTCATTTCTAGGAACTGTTTGTACAACTTCATTGAGCTCTAGCTAATACTCATTCTCTGTTTGGTTGTCATCTCGAAAAACTATTTTTTATCGCTTTTCTAAGAAATTTGGTGGAATCCATTTAAAAAAAAAACAAATAACTGACAAGACTTTATTCAAAAAATTAAATGTCTAGTTTTTTTTTTAAGTAAATCATTTATCATTAACTTTTAACTGAAAACTTAAGTTTTTTTTTTCACAAAATATGTTTAACTCGATCATAGATTAAACTATACTATAGATGATAAACAATACAAAACGGCTGGAAGCTCTTTTTGTGGTTAGTTTTTCAGTCAATAAGACTCAGAATGGATTTCAAACATAATATTATTATGCTTGCCCGGTGGATCACATAATATTATGTTTTATTCTGTCTTTAGATGTGCCCCACACGTTTCCACCGCTCTTCCCGCCATCGAGCGCTCCCGGTGTCCCAAATTCACAATAAAAAAAATTGTGTTATATGCGTTTTCTATCATATAACATGGCCATTGTTTCATCTATAGTGTATATTATTATTTTAATCTATGACTTGACTAAGCTAAATATTGTCGTTTTCAAAATTAGTGGCGGCTCGTGGCTATGGTGCGATGGTGCGGCCGCGCACCCCCTACAGATATAACGAAATAGTAAAAATAACGTATTTGATATTTTACGTTAAGGGGACTCCATACAGACCATTTTTTCAGTCAAAACACATAATTTTCATTCCATCGCACAGGCCTAACCAGTGATCCGATAAGCAATCTAATAACAGATTTGAATATGTCATGAAGTTTACTTAGGATCGGTCCAGGTACTTTTTTCAATTTTTAATTTTAACCCTTTCTAAATTGTATCTTAAAATGTTGAAATTTTATAAAATGTTCAAACGTGTTTTATACATAGTAGGAATAAGATATCAAAAAAGTACGTCGACCGATCTCAAGTAAATTTTATGGCGAATTCATATCTGTTTTCATATTACTTATCGGATCACTGGTTGAGCCTGTGCGATGGAACAAAAAATGTATGTTATATTGACTAAAATGGCTTTTACTAAAATGATTTAAATTTAAAAATAATACCTCGAAGCTTATACAAATTAACCGGTAAATTTATTGACATGGTTCGAAATTTATTTAAGCCAATTTTTTTCTTAATTATTGCCTATACAAAACTCCTTAAAAATGGTCTGTATGGAGCCCCCTTAAGGAATTTACTTTGTTATAAAATATGATATATTCTAATATCTAAATAATGTGGTTGTGCAGGGTAACAACTGCGGCGCGACGGTCGATATAAAATGGGCGCGTGCTACATTGTGAACCGCACATAACATGAAAACAAGTTTTTTGTAGCATCTATAAATAATATAATATCATATTATCGGCGGAGGCCGTGTAAGCCAGCGGTTCCCAAGCTGTGAGGCGCGCTTCCCTTGGGAGGTGCGAGGTAAATATTGATATTTCAAGAACACAGATAATTTCAAAAGGTAACGTCGTACTAGTACGAGTATATTATGCAATTAATTATAGTTCACGGGAGGCGCGATTATTTTTTTTTTTTACTTTTAAAGATGCGTGAACCAAAAAAGTTTGGGAACCGCTGGTATGGGAACAGCCATGGTGTGCGATGATTTAAGACGCACACACAATTCGGGCGGCAGCCTATAATAATTGCGGTCGACATCACGTGGTGTGTGCAACGTTGTGAGTCGCACGTATAAAAACCGGTTTTCTCAGTATCTATAAATATAATACCCTAGTCCCTACTAACAGCATGGACAATCGTACAAGCCATGTTGTGTGACTTGTGCTTCGATTTACCGTAAAAAACGTTAAGAGTGCAGCAGACAGTAACACTTCTACGGAAGAAAACGGTGACTATAATATTTTACACTATTAAGCATTTAGATTTTTGTTTTATTATTGTTTACGTTTGGTTTTTTTTTTAATAACAGTAGTATGAATTCGGTGCAAGAAATTTTAAAATTAAAATTTTCATCTCTCACGTTGGAGCAAAAGGTAGAGATTAAAAATTTGGGTAGACCTCTGCCAAATTTATCCAATTTACTTAATATTTCAAAAAAAGGAAAAACTTCGTATAACCGTCATTTTAATACCGAGCTTTATCAAAAACACAAATGGCTCTGTGGGTGTGAAACTACCGTGTCGTTATTTTGTTTCCCTTGTGTATGTTTTGGAGGTGATAAGTCCTGGAGTAAGACTGGTGTAAAAGATTTAATACATCTTTTAGCCAAAATAAACAAACATGAAAACTCGTTTAAACATCTACAGAATGAGGCAGATTTCAAAATGTTGGGAACTATTGACACGAGTAAAATTGATAGTGGTTATAAATTAGAAATTAAACGTCATAATGAGCAAGTTGCCAAAAATCGAGACATTTTAGAAAAAATTTTAAATTGTGTAAAATTCTGTGGGAATCATGAATTACCTTTACGTGGACACGACGAAAAAATTTCATCAAAAAATCAAGGCGTTTTTCATGGTTTGATAAACCTATGTTCAGATTTAGACCCACGTTTACGAGAACATTTTCAGAAGTCTATTGTTTGTACTTCTAAAACCATAAAAAATGAATTACTGGATTGTATTTTAAATGTTACAAGAAATCATATTTTAAATGAAATAAATAATTCGGAGTTTGTATCCATAATTGTAGACGAAACTACCGATATCTTTAACAAATTCCAATCGGCATTAATATTTCGTTATGAAATTAATGGTAAGCCTGTAGAACGTTTTTGGGGATTTTGTTATCCTCACGGTCACGATGCAGATTCATTAACCCAAACTATTTTAAAAGAAATTGATCCTATACTAGAAAAATATCCCCAAAAACTAATTGCACAAGCGTACGACGGAGCTGCAGTCATGAGTGGTCAGAAATCTGGGGTTAACGTGAGAGTTCAAGAAAAATATCCATACGCTTATTTCAGTCATTGCTATGCTCATCAACTCAAGTTAATAATGGCTCAAGCAACTTCACAAAATAAACAAGTAAAATTATTTTTTTCTAATTTGTCTCAAATACCAACATTTTTTTCGAATTCTCCACAAAGAGTAGCTATACTAGATGAAATAGTAAGCACTCGTTTACCTAAAACTGTTCAAAAACGTTGGAATTTTAATATACAAACAGTAAATAAGGTTTATGAACATAGAGAAACACTAATTAAATGTATGGAGAAAATTATAGACGTATCCTCACAATCTGCCACTATTAATCAAGCTACAGGACTTCTATTACTTTTAAAGGATTCCACTTTTATTTTTTGGCTTGACTGTTTCCACAAAATTATGCCTCATGTTGATTGTCTTTATAAAGCTGTACAATCACAAAATATTGATCCAGTACAAATACAAAACTCAGTAATAACTTTTAAAATAGAAATTCAAAAAATTCACGATGATATCACAAGTTCTGTAGAAGAGCTGACTTTTGAAAATTCTTCTAAAAGACAACGAACAGATGATACTGTTAAATGTAAAAAATCAGCAGCGTTACAAGTGTGTGACTTAATATCCATTGAAGCTCAGAGACGTTTTGATTTTACTAAACATTTAACAGCAGCTCAACTTTTCCAAAATGAAAAATATGTGAAATATAATAACAACTTTCCATTCGCCACTCTGAATACTACTGTTGAATGCTATCCATTTTTTGTTCAAGAACGTTTAATCAACGAGTTAAAAGTATTTTACTCACGTGATGATTTTCTAAATATAAAAGGTGTCATTCCTATAATAAATTATATTACAAATGCTAATATGGAAGACACATTTAAAGAAGTTTTTAAATTGCTCAAAATTTTAGTAGTAACACCGATGACATCCTCAGAGGCTGAGAGAAGTTTTTCAACACTTAAGAGGATTAAGACTTGCTTAAAGAGCAACATGGGCGAAGACAGACTTGATGCGTTAACTATGTTAAGTGTAGAGAGCCATCTGATTAATGAAGATATTGTTGATTTTAACAAGAAGGTAATTGACGACTTTTGTATCATTAAGGAAAGAAGTCTTGATTTCCAGTATAAAAATTGTACATAAATGCTACAAATAGAAGAAAATGTTTGTTGTTACTATTGTTTTGTAAATATTTCATATTTTGTTTTTATTTCATTTTTATATTTATTTTCCTGAAGTATACAGATTATTTGCCATTTTGAGTTATGGTGTCCTAATATTTTATTGCACTCCTGTGTCAAATCACCACGAGTTGCCACTGGTTTTAACTGTTAAAATTAACTAATCCGTTTTTTTTTATTATTAACTCAATTTTAACATTTTCAAATAAGACATAACTTTGCCCAGTCTTGTAACTACTAATTACCAAATAAACAGTTTAATAATCATCAATAAATACCTGGCAAGAATTAGGTTCATATTAGGATTGGCAGTGCCTGGACCCGTAGGACTCCATTTGATTGTATATATTTCTTTATTGTGAGCTTGTAAATCATGCACACATGTATCTTGTTTCATTGACCAAATTTTTAATGTCATGTCATCCGAACACGATGCCAACAAATTTCCTTGCGGATCCCACTTTATAGCATTAACTTCGTTCTGAAATTGTAACCATTAGATTTTAGTTTAATTCAAACACACGAATAAAACACAAACTACAATTATACTTACAGTATGTCCTTCAAACGACTTGACTGGTCGATCGACACCGAGGCGGCAGACGTGTATACATTGATCAGTACTGCAAGACGCGAAACTGCTATTTGACTGCCAATCTACATCCAAAGCCGGTGCAGTATGGAATGCAAATTGTTGATTGCACTGGCCAGAAGCAGCATCCCAAATTATAGTGGTCTATTCGAAAAAAATTATAAAGATTTAAAACATTGTTTAGTTTATAAAAATAGAATAATTTTTACCTTATCCACTCCGGCGCTGAGAATATAGTTTCCTCTTTTATTCCACTTCAACGCAAATATAGGTCCTTTGTGTTGTCCGAGTGTACTGGACAATCTACCGTTGTTCGTCCAAATACGAGCAAAACCATCATAAGAACCCGTTGCTAATAATGTACCATCACACTAAAAACAAATATAAACTTTAATTATATGCAGATTATTACAATCTATAATATCTTACATTCCAATCAAGAGAAGTGACATCTTTATTACTAGGTACTTCTGTACCTCCTTTTTGGATACAATGCCTAAGTATACTCAGCGAACCAGAGTTATCAGTCATATCCCAAATACGCGCTGTACTGTCTCCTGACCTGTGAAATAAATATGTTCAACATTAATAAAATAATCATACTTAAATTAAAAAATAAAAAGTATTAAGTTACATTAAATGAATAAATTGATTAAATTAATTAAACTACTAATACTTCGAGGCCTCTTTTACACTTTTATTTGTAGTATATGATCCATACTTGAAGCTCGATAGTATTAAACTCATACGCGGCTTACGATAAATGTGCTCACGCGAGTTAGGTGTAAGACGAGCCTAAGCTATTTATCGACGTACTGTAGTCTCACATGATAATTGACGTTGAGTTTAGGTCACAATTATTACTTAAACCACCCATCGTTTGGGTAAGCAGGGTTTACCCATAAAATCATTGGCTCCCTAACGTTTGAAAGGTTCCCAGTTAGATTTTTATAATATACGAAGATATAACAAGTTTTTTTTATTCAATCTAATCAACATTTAAATTTAGATAACAAGTTAAAATTTGATTTTAAACAATATAAACTACTTTGACTAATTGGGTGAAATACAGCATGTAGTTTATACATCTTATTTTTTTATACGTCCTACTATGTATACTGTCAGAGTATTTAGATAGTTAGCAAATTTTGAAATTAAACATTTAATAACAAAATACTAACAACTAAACTCGAAAACACGACTATCAACAAATGAGCCATATTTATTAAAAAGTAATAATAACCATACCCAGATGCCAACAAGTCGGTGGTAGGATTCCATGCACAAATGAAAACCTCAGATTCGTGGCCCGTCAATACAGTAGATTTGTCTTCGGGAATTTCAATACTACTGTCCATTTCCATCGTCTCTGTACTAGTTACCGCTGGAGTAACAGTTGGAGCACCTTCTTCGCCATTCGTTTCTTGAGTTTCATTTTTGGCTACTGCCTGTTTTTGTTGGTTGCGGCTCTGGCGACTGGCAACAACTTCCGGCATGACAGCATCAATCAGCGACAGGCTCTCTGTCAAACGTTGCTCGGAACCATCTTCTCCGACACATATTTCAGCTTCGGTGTAGTGGAGACCTTTTTGAATAATGCTGATTAAAGCTGCTGGCGGGACCAACGCTCCATTTATGTTCGATTGGGATATATGCGACTCAATGCCAAACGTGTAGGCCGAGTGTTGGAAACCTTAATGAAATAACAATAAATACAATCTTAATGTTACTGTAATGCAAAATAATGGTATCATGTTCTCGCACTTACCGGATTCTTGTAAATATCGATAAACAAGAAAATTCAGTTCATCGCTCGAGAAAGCCATACTTATGATAATATACAAAACTAGAAACTAACTAAGGTGTCGTTAACTTGGCATACTATTGACCGTACAAAAATAAAAAAATAAATTAACTAATACTAAAAATTATTAATCCTACAGACGAACGAGAACACAAAAATTTGTCTATGACTATAGATACGATCGGAATTGGAATACGAGCCGCATAAGTAGACTAGAACCGCTTTAAAAATGAGATAAACAAATCATTTACAACATCTTTGGCAGATAATATGGTCTTTGGAGTATAGACATTTCCGTAGGATGTTATAAGCTTATCACGATTTATGACCAGAGTTTTTCGCTGATAACAGTCGGTGATGACTACAACTAGCGCCCATGCGGTAAAAAATACTTTAAGTCATGTTCTTCCATGACAACATTGTTATTTTAACCATGATGTTTTCTTTGCCGCCTCTTAACAGTTTAAGTTACCAACGTTTGTAAAAAAATTATAATTTAAAGTAAAACTGTACTACATTTTAATACAAATCTAAGGTAATACAACAAATTTCCAACATTTTACTACTTAAAAAAAGCAAACGTTATTTTTATAACGTTTTTATGAACTCATTACAATCTATAATACCTATTATCATTATATCAGTTAAACAATAAAATAGCGCTGCGATGATATGATGGTAATGCCTTATTAATTCGATACCAGCTTTGAAAGTTTTACTTTTGTTCTATTTCTTTTGTATATTCACATTCGCATAGATATAACCATCGATTTTGTATATTACATGTATTCTAAAATCAATGATATAACTAAGTAATGAATATATAATCGGTACTATGCCTTATTATTATTATGTTTTTATTTATTTATAACGACTCTTAATCGAGACTAGACTACAGACAATAATTGTACATAGATTAACTAACAAATAAACTAAAATAAACAAACAAATAGTATAATATGTATTCAACTTATCAGATATGTACTTATATAACTTATTACAAAGATTTGATAGTTTTTTTTATGATTATCACATATTTTTTAAGTACTTATACAATTATTAATATAATTTTAGATTAACATAATAAGATACATGAATTTATGTTTGTGTGCAGTTTTAGTTGTTTTGAAGTGACTTGATATTTTTCTGAAAAAATAAAACAGAAATGTATTCTTGTTTTACATAGTATTGTGAATTAATTATGGTATTAATAGTTGTGCTTGTGGTTAAATGCCATAAAAATATTGGATAATAATTTTAAAAAACGATGTGGACGTTTCGTTTCTATTAAATATTATAGTTTTTACCTTCACTTCTTCAAGACAGTCGATTTCAAATTGTAAGATATCTTTAGAGAAGGCTGATATTTTAATTTTGTCGTCATCACTATCCAGTTTATCAGCTACATATGTGCAACCCGGTATAAAATGCTCAATAATCATTAGAAAGCTAATTCTAAGTACGTCGGGATTAGGACCGTTCTTTAAGTAGTATTTTTGCGAATAATGGAACTCAATTCCTGGAGCCCAATCGGCGACAAAGCTCTTAATATGTTCAGTAAAATCTGGTCGGGATTTAAACTACGAACAAAATGTAAAAAGAAACCTAACTTTTAGCTTTCATTATACATTTTATACGAATGTGGTATTGCATATTATAAATGTGTAAAAACCAATACCTGTTTTTCAATTTCATATATTTTATTCAATTGATACTCTTGGAATTTTTCGAAACCTTTAACGACAATATTAAAAGTCTCGTTGTCTGCGCTGACTCCTAGAGTTTCAAAAATGTCCGAAACTACATTTTTTAACGATTTTTCAGTATCATCCACCCATTCGAAATATTTGCTTTTCTAGGAGAAAAAAAAGAATATTTATAAAAAGTTAAAAAAATATGTTAATAGTTCAAACAATTACAACGAAATTATAAAAAAAAAATCAATTACATTACGCACAATGTAGTACAGTTATGATTTTATAGTATACACTTTTTAAAGAAAGAATATTAAAAAAAAACTCGCTTTTACTTACTTTTGCTTGGTCATATGTCAAATCACCCAAAGCTTTGTGAACACGTTCACATGCAGGAAACATGGTTTTATTATTAAATTTGTATACGATTGAACAAAATCAAAAACAAATAAATCAACTGCCACAAAATTTTTATTTTAACTTTTAGTTTTAGGTCATAACTATTTAATTACAATTAAAATTTTATTTTTAAATAAGAATAAATTCTATCAAATGTTTAATAACAATAATAATGATGATCTTCCTTTAGTCTCACAGAATGAAGTCCATTGGTGATAATAAACAATTTACATTAAACACAGAATATTTATAGTCCAATGTAATATATTATAATACAATAATTCGTTTTTTTTTTAGATTATATAACATGTGTTCACACTTTGAACTATTGTTATTTATTCAACTACTGGTGCGGTTAGCTGACTGTGGATTGTGTCGTCATCTAACATAATATAAGGTCATCAAGTTAACGCTGATCTTTTCCCACTTCTAGCTGCATTATACCTCTGCCCGACCATCCACCAACAACCAATTGTGTAACATTGACCATAGTCAGATAAAATTATCTCCCATTTGACTACCCAAATGATTATTGTGTACTGCATTTATCAATGCTTCAAGCAACGCGATAACATTCTATATTTTTATTAAATGCAACAGCTGGCAAGTGGCATACATGAATTAATCAAATATTAGGAGATCCTCTCCTCGAACACAAAAAAAAAAAATCAGATTCAAATAATTTTATTGCAGCCACAACGTGGTCACATACAGATCACTCGTAATGTTATTTGATTCCATTAATGATACCTCGAAGAAAATCATAGAACGCAGCAACCCAGCTTTGTTTAAGCATAGTAAATATTATAATACAAGAGTAAATGATTAAATAGACTCGTTGGAATTCAGTGATAAAAGTTATGTCTTCAATAGCAGTTCAAAAACATTACATTTACAGTTCTAAGTCCAACAAAACAATATTTAAATATTTCCTATGCGTATTATTTTATAATTATATTCTTAGCTATTAAAAGAACATCAGAAACTCCATTTCTGTTTTTCTTCATCAATATAAAACAAAGTTTCATAAACTCTGATTTATTACGGTCAAGTCTTGTAGTTAAATAACAATCGATTTTCATTCAGACAACGATAATTAACAGGACGTGTTTATGTGGCCACACACTACGGTCTTATTTCACGGTGAACCAAATTTTCCGTTTTAGCACATCTTTAGCTATAGCAGCCATGTTGAAGATGATAAAAACCAATAATAAAAGAAAAAGAAAATGGGCAAAAGAATGGCTTTTGAAAAGAGAATATTTATTATGAAAAGAGATTGAAGTATTCGCATATTAATTTATTAAATGAGTTAAGATTTCATCCAGAAGACTGGCATAATTATTTAAGAATGGACAAAAATACATACTTAGAACTCCTACAGCTAGTAACCCCTTTAATTGTAAAACAAGACACCTATTTGCGAAAAGCCATCACGCCTCATGAAAGATTTACAGCAACGCTACCATAGCCACTGAAAATGCAAACAGCTACGATGAATTGAAAATAAAAAACAATATTTTTTTTTTAAATAATTAGGACGATTTTCATTTTAAAATAGCTTAAAAATATATAAATTTTAAATTTTAAATGGAGTAGGTATTCTAGTAATATAATTATAAGGATGGTATAATATTTTGTTGGTCGTACATAGATTTTTTATTCGTTTGTTTTATTTCGAAGAGCTTCTATGTCATTCTAAAACAAAACATAAACGCATTTTTGATATAAGTGCCTATTTAAAGTTACATAACATTGACAAATGGTGGGAGAAAACGTAAATATTGTTCACCTTGAGACCTTGAAGCGAGTCAATTAAATTTTGAATAACATCTTTTGCAAAATTGGATACACCAATTTTGAATTCACTATTATCGTTCATATTAGCCAAAAATGTGGCACATATAGTAAAGTACGTGATGGTAATTTCGAAACACCATCGAACTTTACTTGCACTCAATCCGTCTAATTGATAGTATTTTTTTTCTTCAGTCTGAATCACCGTACACTCGGCCCATTCATTGATGAAATGTCTGGCCGCTTCATTGGCTAGATCACAGACTGCGAGCTGCGAACAGTTTAATCCTTACAAAAACTATTATAAAAAAAAAAATAGTAATTTATCAAATACGTACTTTCTTTGCATAAGTGGCTGTAGAATTTTTTAAGTATTCTTGTTGTTGTTCTATTCTTTTTACCGATGCGTTTAATGCTGATTCGTCTGTTACTCCCAACGTGTCGAAAACTTCCGTGGTAAGTTTTTTTATAGAACTTTCATAATCCTTTATCCATTCAAAATGTTTGACTCTCTGGGAAAATAATAATATTATTTAATATGGTATTTCAATCTTCGTAGATCGAATTTAGTGACAACGCTAGAAATTTGTCATCACAATATTTAAATGTGTTTAATTTTACATTAAAACAAGAGACGTAACTAATTTATAATTATACTAAAACAAAACAAAAAATTGCTTACTTTTGCTTGGAAATAAGACCATCCTTCACAGTATTCTCCTAGCCGTTCACACGCGTTTGCCATATTATTCTGTTGTATATACTAAAAAGTGAAACTTCTTTTTAATAAATATTTTTACCGTAATTAAGAAAAAAAAACACTAACACGTTTATCTTAATACAGTTGTTTTCGAAGGAAAACGCAGTTTAGATAGTGAAACGGCTAATGATTAATAATTAACTAATAACAAATCAACAGTTGTAATAAATATCATATTTTAATAAATTTAGACCAACCATTATGTACAACTGTAGAACTGTACTGTACAACTGTAGTTATACAGTAGCGCAACTACCCGAGACATTCTGGCCTCTAATCAGCAAAATATACTTTGAACTAATTTACTCTATACTAATTAAAATTTTTTTTTAAATTGTTACAATAACCTAACCTTTGAAGAATTTTTGTTTCCTAATTTTAAAATCATTTATATTTTCAAGCTTCAAACAAATTTTTTTTTTATTATTGTATACCAAAAAATAAATCAAAAATTAAAAAAAAAAGTCATCAAGAAAGGATAGTATAATTTTTCATATTTTTACTAATATCAACATTCAACATGTTTCGATGAAAAATATGTTTAAAGATGTAAAAATGATGCTAATCCTTGTTTTGATGTTGTTTTTTTTTAAAGTTGTCTTCTACTAATTATGGGCTTATTTTTTGAAAAACAACAATGTATTATATTTTGTGGCTTTTAAAATTGATTAAAATGTTGTTGTGATTAAGTAGAAATTGCGAGGTAGACAGAGGAAGCAGATTAATGCGGAAAGCCCGACATTTGTCTTAAAAGCATTTACATTTGAGAATCAACTTATGTAGGTACATGTCATTAGGTCATCCGTAGATCGAGTTGCAGCACTATTGGGTTTATTACTTTCGAGTTTTGCTTTTTGTACTTGCTCGTTGGAAATAAATATTAATGATAGATTTTTATAATTAAGATTCTATAAAGAATCTTAATTAAAAATATAAAGAATATAAATTCTTTATATTTTTTATATTAACTCTGGACGTTGTTATCGTTTCACTAAAACACCACAACAACATGACGTTATCAAAATCAAACAATAATTTTATAATTAGTAGGTAAGTAGTAATTATAGTATTTACGTAGGTATACTTAATACTTTTAATTTATCCTTTGATAAGTTTAATTATAAAATATCAAAAATAAATCTGACATAAATACTGTTTATACATTAACGATCTATAGTTCTCATTAGTCTTGGCTTTTGAGGTCCAGTGTTAGGTTAGGTTTACTCAAGGCTGTATCTGGGGGGGGATCTCAATGGGGTCTGAACGCCTAAACATTTTTTAAGCATCTTGAAGTTTTTTTAAAATGAAACGTTATTGCATTTATTCACTGTACTTATCGAAATTCAAAGAACACTCAAAATAATATTCAAGAATAGGTAATAATTACATACATACTTTTAAATCGTGTTTTGGCAAGAAATCAAACATTAATCACACAAATGTTTTAAATATATTCCCCGTTAATTTCATAGTGTTTATAGATCAGAAGTCATCTATAAAATTATTCTACGACACAGAAAATAACATTTGGACAATCGTACAGGAAAACCAATTTACTGAATATTGGTAACCCGCTAAATTATCCAAACTTTGTAAATAGTAAAACATGCTTTAAAGATGATTATTATAAGCACACAGTAATTTAACGGTTTACATTGTGATTTTCCGCAATGATAGTTTCTGTGTTTTAAATTAAAACATTGGACAACCAACGCCTTTGATAGCCATTTGTAAAAATGATGTACCTATACAATTTGTATACTGACTTAAATAAAACAAATACTCATTTAATATTTTGAAGGCATTTTCAAACTCGAAATATCAAACTACTAAGCTACTCTATCGTTGTTTTTATTAATTAAACAATAATAAAATAAGAGTATTAAGTATTTAGGAAAATATTTATTATGCCATAATATTTGTATGTACTATTTTTGTTTTTAATATGTTTTAAACTAAGAGAAAAATAATTTAACAACACTTATAAAACGTATAATATTTTTCACTAAACTCTCGAGTAGGTAAAAGGTATAATTTTAAAAATAATAAATAATAATTGTACAGTAAAAATTAAAATTATATAAAAAATGTGAAAATAAAAAAAATATATTTTTTTATTTATAATATAATATAAAAGAATAGCAAATTTATTAATTGGTATTTTTATTAATAGTTGGTTGAGAGTTGAACAACAATCAAACAGTTAGCTCATTAGAAAAATACAATTTAAATTATCAATTTCCAACAAAATTACATGCATTAATTTCTTGAGAAGTTAGTCGTCTATTCTTATTTCTGGAGATTTGCAATATCCTTCTAAAATGAACAGTACAATAATAATTAAAATGTCGGTTTTTTATTTAGAAAAATTGAATATGTGGTTAACACGGTGGTTACTTTTAGCTCTTGTAGACAAGTGATCATGTTGAGAATGACAACTTTTGAAAAATTCGAAACAGCAATTTTGTATTCACTATTATTAGTCATGTCGGCCAAAGTCGTGGAACACACTATAAAGTGAGGCATGGTTGATTCGAAAGCCCTGCGGATTTTTTTATCACTTGGACCTCCTATTAGGTGATATTTTTTAGAAATTTGAAATTTAACACCTTCGGCCCAATCGTTGATAAATTTTTTTGAATTGTCGTTGGCAATATCACTGTTTTCCAGCTGTAGAAACAAATGTGTATGATGTAAATATATGATCAGCAAACGCATTTCATTTATGTACTTATAAAATACTCACATCTTTAGCATAGTTAGATAACGATTGTATTACATGTTCTTGATGTTTATCAAGGTGTTTTATCGACGCGTTCAATTCGTTTTCATCTTTTACCCCTAAAGTGTCGAAAATTTCAGCTGTCAGTTTGTTAATGGTGTTTTCACAATCATTCACCCATTCAAAATGTTCATTATTCTTAAAAAAAAAAAAAAATGTTAAAAAATATATTAATAATATTAAAAAACTTTTTGACAGTATTTTGAAAACATTCATAGATTTTTTTTTGCAGGTACTATCTATACCTGATTGGCGTTTGACAAAAAGTACAATAGTGTTTTTGTTTTTTTATTAAATTCACCAGAATAATAATTGATGTATAACTCAAATAGTTTTATTAAATTGAAAAAAATGCATATTAGTATATAAACCTTTAACGGCAGTACTTAGTCGTTTAATAATTGTTCAAAACTAATAAAGATAACTTATGAGTGTCATTGACAAATATAATTTTTATTGGACTAAATTCTACTTGTGCAGTTTTTTAAAATAGATCATATTAAAGTTTAACCTATTCAAGTATATTTATAACTGTACAAATGAATATTATGTTTTGAACTTTTAGTTCACTACAAATTCGTGGTGTCAGAATCAAGCTACCTACTTAGGATTTTTCAAGTGAAACACAATATTGTAAATTAAAGGAATAGGTTTACTCACTTTAACGATTTCGTACTTCTTCCCTTCAATGCTTTTCATCAAGTAATCGCTGACAGACATGTTTCTTTTTTCTGAGTAATTTTTGTTGAGTGCAGACTATTTATGTGAAGCGGATAGCTTTAACCATAGCAATATATTATATGGATATACCGATTACTTGGAGGACTATATAGTGTATACTATTATTCACTGTACCTACTAGTGTCGATGTGATATAATTGATAATAACAACCAACCTTATTAAGTGGTATGATGACGCTATAAGTCACAAAATACCGATTGCCTATAATAATAGAACTAATTTGTTTTCCATTATGCAGTACCGGTCATAACTGATAATAATTGATTGTTATTTGCTGTTGCCTGTTGACTGCAGTTGTGATTATATTATTATATAACACTTGTTTACCAATTTATCTATAGTATAGCTATTTGTTTTTTTTAGTCTTGAATTGTATTTCATTTTAGTTATCGAAATGAGTATTCTGAGGTCATATCAGTGTATAATAAAATTCAGAAACTAAAAACGTTGTTAAAAATATTCTTCCAGAAACAATATTTTATACCATTTCATAACAGCACCTAACTTAGTTTAAAAAATGTTTTAAACCGACTTTTTCTAATCGGAATGACCAATATCTGTCGTAGCTATAAGAGATAATTTAAAATATATAGGTTGTTAAAAATAAATCATAGTTTCTGGTCGATAAATCAGTCTAAAATTATTTTATATTAGATTTAGTAAAAATGTGTTATAAGGATATTTGATATAATATTAATTTGTTATAATATAGTTGTATGATTTGTAGCTGTTTTCATATTATATTAATTGTAATGAATATTCAATTTGCTTCAAATTATATTGTCTTCGTTGTATTTGAATATTTACTTCTTACGATATGTCTCGATAGCTTTCTGAAAACAAATTTATGTATATTTTAATGTTTAAATTATTGATATAATAATATATTTATCAATATTTTATTAATATTATGCGTGTATATGTATATATTAATGATAAATATGCGATTTAGACGTTTGATTATCAAAATCACTTTTGTTAAGCTTAAAAATGTTCCATATTTATAGGTATTTAAATAACTTTCAACCCTTAATTTGTGAGTCATACAATAATAGGTACATATTATATAGTATTTAAGTTTTACCTTCACATGATTAAGACAGTCGATTTCATAGAGTAAAGTGTTTTTACAAAAATCAGCAATTTTAATCTTAATGTCATTTTTGTCAAACTTGTCAGTCACAAAAAAGCAGCCTGGTACGAAATGCTCAAGAACTGCTAAATAAGAATTTTGAAGTGACTGAGGATTCGGGCCACGTTTTAAGTAGTATTTTTGTTCAAACTGATATTTAATTCCTGGAATCCAATCGTTTAAAAAACTTCGAGCATCCTCGTCGATGTCGGGTAGGGATAAAAGCTGTAACCAAAATCAAAATTATTAAATCAACGGCATAAAAATTGTTTGATAAACACAACGTAATTTCATACTTGGTTGACTAAAGCAGATAATTCATTCAGTTGGTGCTGTTGGAAATTCTCAAGACCTTTAACAGCAATATTAAACGTCTCGTCATCGCCGCTGACTCCCAGTTTTTCGAAAACTTCTGTTGCTAAACTGCTCATTATATTTTCAATATCGTCGACAAATTCATAATATTTGCTTTTCTGTACAAATATCAAAATGTTGTCAATTATACGTAATTTAAGTATGCATAGCAACATTTTTTTATGTTATACATCTATGACTTTGCAATAAAGACGAAGGAAAATAAATTGTTCTCTTCCAGAAAACGTTGTAAAAATTACTTATATATTTTGAGTTAGGTAATCTTATGTCGGAATAATACCATTACTATTTGAAAAACAATCTAATGTTCAAGCAAGTAATTAGAAAAATTGTTATACATACTTTTGCTAGGTCGTAGGTAATTCCTACTTGAAGTTTTCCCATTCGTTCACACGGATTTGCCATTTTGTAGGTGTTAAACAGTTAATCAAGGTGTAAAATGATAATTTTTAAGAACGGCACTGTAATGTAATTAACTAAACCTGAATCTCACCAAACTATATTATATTAGATAAATACGGTGTAAACTTTATTTATACTATTTTTAGTATGTTAATTAATCTAACAACACTCGATTATCAAAACGATGACGGCAGCCGCCAGTAAATGATTAGATTAATTGTACTAATAAGTTATGCTCTATGGAATATGATAAAACATATCGGTACATATTATACAGGTTTTGAAGTATATTTTATTGTGGATAGGGGTTTCCCATTATTATAATATAGTAAAATCTCAAGTTAGGTACTCTTATTTAAGTTGACAATAACTAATTGAATACCTTACATAGTATGTACGAATGTTGCATCTTATTTTTTACATAACTAACGAAAAACTTTAAAATAACATTTAATATTATAGTATTATAATTTTTTGAAAGTACTTTGGTCTTTACTTGTTAGCTTTAAAGGTTATCTATGTATAAACTATCTAACCGATTTGGAAAACACAATATAATGAGGTTATACCTATGCATTTTATAATGTACATTATTAGGTAAAATATCAAAATAATTTTTTTATACATGTGTAATATCGAAGGCTTGATTTTTATATGCTAGATATATGTACAAAAAAACTTACTAGTGAGTAGGTATATTTAATTTTTAGTTTCAATGCGGAGCTGTCAGCTAAGAAGGTATTGTATTTACAATGATGTGTTTTTATTTTGAGACTGAACTTTGGACCCACGATATTTTCTAAACTGCTGATCCGATTTCTTCGTTAAGCAAATCTATAGATCAGAAATCGTACTTGAAAGGTACTTTATTGGGCCAAAAATTTTAAAAAAGTCACCCTTCCTCTTTAAAATCGAGAAAAATTTCCCTATATTTCAACTTAAAATTATGGTGCACTATCACGTTTTTAAAAATAGTCAAATTAGTTCCAAATTTGTTCGGAATATTTTTTAGACATAGTAGTATCAATAAACCATACAAATATGACAGTATTTACAAGAAACAATCCTTTCCTTTAAAATTTGTATACATAGTATTATTATCACACCGTGACATTTTTCCATTAATATATACTCATTATAAATTTATTCAAGTTATTTTTGAGTGTAAATTAACTTTTGGCTGTACGAGCTTGTGATTAAAAATAATTTAATAAGAGATCAATTAACTATACATTTTTAGACCATACGTTATAATAGTATTGATGTGATGTCATTAATAGAACAAACGAAAGATACCTCTTTATTCTCATTATACTTCAATAATATTTATATTTTCTTAAATAACAATACATAATATGACTTTAAGCTTCAAATTATATTGTCGTCGTTGTATTTGAATATTTACTTCTTACGATATGTCTCGATAGCTTTCTGAAAACAAATTTATGTATATTTTAATGTTTAAATTATTGATATAATAATATATTTATCAATATTTTATTAATATTATGCGTGTATATGTATATATTAATGATAAATATGCGATTTAGACGTTTGATTATCAAAATCACTTTTGTTAAGCTTAAAAATGTTCCACACGTAGAGGTATTTAAATAACTTTCAACCCTTAATTTTTGAGTCACACAATAATAGGTACATATTATATAGTATTTAAGTTTTACCTTCACATGATTAAGACAGTCGATTTCATAGTGTAAAGTGTTTTTACAAAAATCAGCAATTTTAATCTTAATGTCATTTTTGTCAAACTTGTCAGCCACAAATAAGCAGCCTGGTACGAAATACTCAAGAACTACTAAATAAGAATTTTGAAGTGACTGAGGATTCGGGCCATGTTTTAAGTAGTATTTTTGTGCAAACTGGTATTTAATTCCTGGAATCCAATCGTTTAAAAAACTTCGAGCATCCTCGTCGATGTCGGGTAGGGATGTAAGCTGTAACCAAAATCAAAATTATTAAATCAACGGCATACAAATTGTTTGATAAACACAACGAAACTTCATACTTGTTTGACTAAAGCAGATAATTCATTCAGTTGGTGCTGTTGGAAATTCTCAAGACCTTTAACAGCAATATTAAACGTCTCGTCATCGCCGCTGACTCCCAGTTTTTCGAAAACTTCTGTTGCTAAACTGCTCATTATATTTTCAATATCGTCGACAAATTCATAATATTGGCTTTTCTGTACAAATATCAAAATGTTGTCAATTATAAGTAATTTAAGTATGCATAGAAACATTTTTTTATGTTATACATCTATGACTTTGCAATAAAGACGAAGGAAAATAAATTGTTCTCTTCCAGAAAACGTTGTAAAAATTACTTATATATTTTGAGTTAGGTAATCTTATGTCGGAATTATACCATTACTATTTGCTCAAACAAGTAATTAAAAATATAGCTTTACATACTTTTGCTTGGTCGTAGGTAATTCCTTCTAGATGTTTTCCCAATCGTTCACACGGATTTGCCATTTTGTAGGTGTTTGTAACAGTTAATCAAGGTGTAAAATGATAACTTTTAAGAACGGCACTGTAATGTAACTAACTAAACCTGAATCTCGCCAAAATAAATTATATGAGATAAATACGGTGCAGACTTCTTTTATAATATTTTTAGTATGGTAATTTATCTAACAACACTCGATTATTAAAACGATGACGGCAGCCGCCAGTAACTAATTACATTAATTATTATACTAATGAAGCTCTATTGTATATGATAAAACATATCGGTACATATTATACAGGTTTTTAAGTATATTTTATTGTGGATAGGGGTTTCCCATTATTATAACATAGTAAAATCTCAAGTTAGGTACTCTTACTTAAGTTGACAATAATTAATTGATTACCTTACATAGTATGTACGAATGTTGTATCTTATTTTTTACACAACTAACGAAAAACTTTAAAATAACATTTAATATTAAAATATTATAATTTTTTGTAAGCACTTTGGTCTATACTTGTTAGCATTAAAGGTTATCTATGTATAAACTATCTAACCGATTTGGAAAACACAATATAATGAGGTTGTATGCATTTTATAATGTTCTTAATTGGGTAAAATTTCAAAATGATTTTTTTTTACATGTGTAATATCGATGGCTTGATTTTAAAATGCTAGATATATGTACAAAAAAACTTACTGGAGAATAGGTATTTTTAATTTTTAGTTTCAATGCGGAGCTGAGAAGGTATTGCATTTATAATGACGTATTTTGAGTCTGAACCTTGGACTCAAGATATCTTTTAAGCCGCTATTCCGATTTCTTCGTGTAACAAATCTATAGATTAAAAATCGTACCTGAAAGGTACTTTAATGGGCCAAAATTTTTAAAAAAGTAACCCTTCCCCTTCAAAATTGAGAAAAATGTCCAAAAAATTTACCTATTTTTCAACGTAAAAATTACGATGCACTATCACTTTTTTAAAAATAGTCAAATTATTTCCAAATTTATTTGGAATATTTTATAGACATAGTAGTATCAATAAACCATACAAATATGACAGTATTCACAAGAAACAATCCTTTCCTTTAAAATTTGTATACATAGTATTATTACCACACCGTGACATTTTTTCCATTAATATATACTCATTATAAATTTATTCATGTTATTTTTGAGTATAAATTAAATTTTGGCTGTACGAGCTTGTGATTAAAAATAATTTAATAAGAGACCAATTAACTATACATTTTTAGACCATACGTTATAATAGTATTGATGTGATGTCATTAATAGAACAAACGAAATATACCTCTTTATTCTCATTATACTTTAATAATATTTATATTTTCTTAAATAACAATACATAATATATTAAAAAAATGATAAAATTATAACTGATAAGGCTAGAAAAATATTTTGTTTTGTTATGGTTAAAAATCGAATTCCTTAAATTCTAGTTTATAATTTCACAGTAGGTGTCGGTTGTTAACTTACACATATTTAAACAATTTAAACTTATTATTTTACTATTTAAAAAATAATTTAGTCTGTAGCCTCATTAAAAAGACAAAACCAGCAATTTGTAACAATTATAAAGATTAAATAACACAGATTTATGAACAATAATATAATATATCATATCTTATGCATAGAAATAGTTTTCATAAGATCACATTAGTTTTTGAGAGCTGCGACGCCATCCTGAAAGGGAAAATAACGTTAATTAATGTTAACATTGTTTCGCTTTTGTTACACAATTTAAAGTATTATTATTTCACCTTGAATTCTTGAAGAGAATCGATTAAATTTTGAATACCCTCTTTTGCGAAATTGGAAACGTCAATTTTGAATTCACTACTATCAACCATATCAGCCAGAGTGGTCGAACATATAATAAAGTAAGAGATAGCCGACTCAAAAGACCAACGGAGTTTTTCAGCACTTGCTCCGCCCATCAAGTGATATTTTTGAGCAGTTTGGTATTCAACACCTTCAGCCCAATCGTTTGCAAACTTTCTAGCTTCATCGTTAGCCAATGAACTGGACACAAGCTAAAAATAATTTTTTTAAATTGTTTAATATATTTACTATAAACAATCATACATAAATACTGAATACACACTTTTTTCGAATAGTTGGCTACTAAATCTTTGAGGAACGTTTGTTGTTTATCCAGAATATCGACTCCGATGTTAACAGCGGCTTCAGTTTTCACTCCTATAACGTCGAACACCTCTGCTGTAAGATTGTTTATTGAATTTTCAAAGTCGTTTACCCATTCGAAATATTTGTTATTCTGAAATATTAAAACAACATATTTTTATAAGTGAATTTACTTTTCATGATAACATTTACGGATGGGAAATCCAAATTTGTTCTGTAACCAAACTCGCAACTAAATTACTAAGATATAAAAGTACATAATATTATCATTGCACATAGTTGATTGTAAATCAAAGCTGTGATAGACAGAAAATGTTGTTTTTGTACTAAGAAGTTTTTGTTTCCTCGTAACAATTTCAGTACCGATATGGCGTTAACAGTTATAGTATGTCTTATCGTTTACTTGTCGTGTTAAATGGAGAATATTGGAGTTGAACAAATTCAAACATCAAAACGGTAGGTATGTAGAGAAATACAAGTTCGATTTGGAAAATAATATCATGTATGAGTATGACCACAATAATTTAATTTGTAAATGGTATTGAAAATATGCAATTCTTGGTGGTAGGTAGGTACCTACTTAAATGAAATATAAGAAGTTATAATGGAAACATTAACTTACTTTGACGACATCGTACTTCTTTCCTTCCACACATTTGATTAGATGGTCGCTGACAGGCATGTTTTCAGTTTAATGGTTTTAATTTTTAAATTATAAAATAGGAATTCTGCCCGCGAGCTGATCGTTTGGGTAGTTTGTGCTTGGACAAAGTGATAACAACTAAACTGTTCGACCAGTGTTAATAGTTTATATGCTGTATAGTACTTAAAAGAGGCGTGTTTAATAAATACAGTTATTAATACAGAACTATTTGAATAATTGTGTTATATAACAACATGCCGGTCGAACATGACCTTCGGTCGGTTTCCAGTAAAATGATATCATCTATATTATTAACAATACTATATTATCGTTGTATTACAGTATAATAATAATGTGCGATAACTTGCGTTCTTAGCCTTCTGAATTGATGTTTGTAATCTTTTTATCGACGATCTAACATACATACCTAGCAAATGAGCGAATTAAGACCAATATTATATAGTACAGGTACAACCAGATTTTTAATCAAATTAGAACTAAAAGTCCCAATATTTTATTTTTGTGATGGTCACAACCAAAAACATAATAATATATATAAGGTTAAAACGATGTAAGTTTTACAGGACAACAAAAGGCAAAATACAATAATTCATTTTTCCATGTAGGTATTCTTAGAGCGGAGACGTTTTATACGATATCTCTTTCGGAAATTGATAAAAAAGAAATATAAAACAAATACAAATGAAAAATAAATGCTAGGTATGACTCATTGACAAATAAATTGTATGATTAAAAATTTGATTATGAAAATGTCAATTGTACATTTGTACCATTTGGTTTCTAATCACTTCATAAATAATATATCTATAATGTATTTATTTTAAAACCACATAGGTATTAGATAAATAGTTAATGACACAGAATTATGTCAGTGCGATGACAACATTATTAGGTAAATTAATTATTTCTATACATATTGTCTAATGCGTTTGTACCTAGTTTTATTTTTTTTTTTTACAAGCTACAAATCCAATACCAATATATTATATTATAAATATATGTTGAACGAGGTTTTAAAGAAAACGTCAGGGAAGACTTGTACGTGCGTTTAACACAGCTTTTTTTCATGATAAATGCAGCTGTATAAAATAAATGTATACTTTTTTTTATAGATAGATAATTTATAAGTGAATGTACATCTATATGCTTCGTAGTTCTAATTGGTAATTGATAATAGAGTTCACCAACAATCGAACAATTTCAAATTTATCAGTAGTTTCTGATTAAATTGTGTTTTTATTTAGAGCATTATGAATTACAAATAATAGTAAAAATTAAAATGCTAAAATAACAAAATATTGAAGAGCGGTAGGTCACTAGGATTTGTGTTAGTTAAAACTAAGTATGGAGTTATATGGAGTTTATCCATACACATATCGTATGGTGTCATAAATAATTATGCCATAATTATTGAGTTTGAATTTAAGTAATAGTCAATGTTATAATTACATCGACAGCGGTAAATGGGAATAGTATTTTTTTTTAATTGCAAGCCAATCAAGTAAACGTACTTCATGAGAAAATAGGACTAGTCAATAATAGTAATAATAATATTAGCTGTAAATTACAATCCTCGTTGAATATTCAGTTTTTTTCAAATAAATGGTTTTGTTGTTTGATAACATTATGAAAGCTGTTGTTTGATAAAAATGCACGAAAAAAACATCACGAAAATAAAGATATCTCATGTTAAAGGGTCATTTGTTATTTTTAATAATGAGTAATAGCATTGAGTAAATATTGTACAATATAATATACTCAATGGTAAAAGGTAGCAAAAATTCCTAAAATTGATAATATTGATAGTAAACACAGACATTCTGTTATGTAACAGAACACTGTTGCATAAAATCAAAATTTAAAGATGACTTATTATTTAATTATAAAAAAATCTAAGTATTATTGCATTGGACTTTTAACATGTATAGTCAACATATAGATATATATATATATATGTGTGAATTTCAAACTTGACTAAACACTACAAAATAGGTATAACGAGACGTTTTTTTTATGCGTTCTCAGATAGTAAACTTATTTTAAAATATGTATTTATTATTTTTCAACAATCGCCACTGATTAATTTTATCAAAAATATTACATCTGTTTATATGGGGTTTTATCTAGTTTCATATTTGCGTTTTTGAAAAACGACGTTTTACATCGTTATAAACAGTTTGTTTGATTGTATTATACATTATGTTTTGTACAATCTAGTTCAAAGATTTGTTTTCAGAATATCTTGCCTCATACAAATTTATACGTTTGACTGTATAAATTTATTATATACTTAAAACTCCTTCTTATTGAGTTACATAACCGGTTTCATAATAATATTTACTTAACCGTTGTTAAAAGTTTTTTTTTTTTTTTGGAAAATTATTCTTTTATTGCCATCTATATATTATTATGGTTGGTGTAGAGGCTTTTTAAATCACAAGTATACCGTTAGATGGAGCTGTACCATACCTATTAACAAAATAATAATAATAGATGATAATGATTTTGTCTTTGAAGAACATAATATTGTTAGGTTTATTATGTTATTCACAGTGTTGACTATTCGAAACGATCCATTATTGTATAGTAGAGATGTTATTGATATTTAATAAATAAGTCCAACACTATGGTTTTGCAAACTTGAATTGCACGATGGATATTTATTTTACATTAACATTATTTCAATAATTATAATTTATAATAATAATTTCAACAGTATAATAATTGTAGTAATTACAATAACAGTTTTTGATAAATCTTGTCACATACTTTGCTCTTAACAATGATAACCATCTTCCATAATATTTATTATATTTATAAATAATAATAAAAAAAAAAATGTACAATATTTTCAATTTACAATAATGATATCAAAACGAACAAAAACAAATTATAGTCAATAACATATAATATGTATATGAATAATTACAATTATTACTTTGTTAGTATATCGCATGATTAATATATTATATAAAAAGTTAAATTTGTTTTTCTATTCACATACCATGAAACATATTTGGTAGGACTAAACATAATTTTAAATTTCAACCAAATTTGATAAATTGTACAAATTGATAAAGTTTGGATTTTTTTAAAACTTATTAAAAAACAAAAACAGATAATAATATTATTGTGTCGACTACACAGTTTCGTAATAAACTTGATCATAAATTTTAATTTGTGTTCAAATTTTAAGTGTTCCTGAAATGTTTCTATTAGTTTTTAACTTTCCTCGGACCGTGTTATTGTAATTAATATTATAATCTAGCAGTAAACACTTAAAAAAAAAAATAAACAAAACAGAATAAGATAAGGACGGCTTAAAAACCGACTCCGAGTTTTTTGTTTAATAAATTATAACTAAGTTTGCTTTATGTGCTCAACGATTCAAGCAAAGTTTCTGTTTTATTATTATGCTTGTAGTTGTGAAGTATAAAACTTTTACACAGATTCCTCTGTTTTGAAGAACCAGCGAATAGAACGAATGGTTTTCTCATATTTTTTTTTTCAATTCTACTTACTCGCTTCAACGGTGTCATCAATTAAACACTACCCTATCCCCAGACTTGTTTTTCACAAAACTTTTATTTTTATACATTTATTATTTACCAAAAAAAAAAAATGAAGTAAAAGCATAATATCAACTAGAGAATCATTAATCGTATTCATTCGCCCTTTAAAAACATTATATTATTGTTATTTAGCGCTTACAAAGCTAATGTGTTTCTGAATTCGATCAACAATAATTTTTTTTTTTTTGGTATCACAGTGAATAGATATTTTACTAATCATCATAATGAAATAATTTACAAATAAACGGTAGTACATGATTTTGTTTTGGTAGTGTGTTAAATCTAATGAGTTGTCCAAATTTCAAAATTTAACGTACATGGTAAATGTACGTAGTGACGTTTTCCTATTACACGTTGAATTTCCAAATCTGTTTAGAGAAAAATAATACCTACTTATAGTTGTATTTTTTTTTTTTTTTTAATGATATTGTACATGTGTACTGGAAATTAAAAAAATGAACTTGGCTATAAACATGAAGTATAAATAACTCTTTTATACTGGATAATGAATTTAACATAAGACACGCATTGTACCAGAAAAAATGTTTCCAATTTTGTCACTTTTCATTTTGAGAACGCTTTAGGTTATACTTATTTTACGGTATTAAAATATAATTTTAATAATATTCAGTTTAATTAAAGCTTTAGCCTTTACTGCAAGCCCAATTATTATTTAAAATGTTATCGTACATAAAAATTAGTATAATAACGTACTCTGCTAATTGTTTTTGTTAAGTATCCATGTATTAAATGTAAAATTTAATTTTTATCAAAATGGATCATTGATCGACTATTATATTTGACAACTGACATTTTAACTTATAACTGTGAAGTAATTTAGATTTTATAAGCTAACATAACATTACGAAATCCGAAATTGATGTAATAATATGAAACGATGAGAAACAAAATGGTATAAATGGCACTTTCATAATAAAGTTTTTGTTGAAAATATATTTTTTAACGAACCATACTTTGGTCGATGTTTGTTTTACAATTTTCCGCACTTTTTGAAAAATATATTTAAAACAAAAACAAATAAACAACAGCCGTAAGAACACATAGAATTGAAATAATTATCATTCTCCTGTAAACTTTTATAAAAGTAATTAATATATTTTTCATTCTCATCGTTTCCTAATATGTAATTGTAAAATAATGTTAACAACGTGTACTTGTTCAAAATTGAGTAAAAAAATGTAGCTATTAGAGATAATAAGTAACCTATCTTATGTCAAATTTATCACCTTTGTGGGTTTCAAAAATGATATATATTATATTGTAACAAAATTGGTTTTGCGATTATGAAAAAAAATGTCATATAAACAGTTATATACATATATGTGTAAATTGCCTAGTACCAAGTACAGAGTGATCGTAATAATTGTTAAACCGCCGAAAAGCGAGGCGTAGCGCGATTTTGGTGCGAACACGCGGAGTGGCACTTTGGTCAGACCCTCATCTCGCTCATGGCGGCCACGGGCATCTTGAGCGTGCCGCTTTTCTGTAACTGGTTCAGCCCCACTCCCTGCACTAGCAGCGGCTGTGATTCCTGTGACGTGATCGCTCTGGGCGGCGGCGGCGGTTTCGGTAACGTGGACGCCATCCCGTGCACGGAACCGTTGGGCGGCCCTTGATGGTCGACGTGCACTATGCGGGAACACGACTTGGCCGCTTTGGGGAACGTCATGTCGTGCGCCCGCGGCGGCGGCACCGCAGTGGGCGCGTGATGGTGATGATGGTGGTGATGGCCGTGGTACGAGTGCCGTTGCTCCATTTCCAGAGCGACCGCGTCCGGCGGCCGAGGCGGTTCACTGTATCCGCCTACGCCGACTAGATCCTTTTCGCCGTCTGCCTTGTACCTCTTCTGCGAGTGGTCGCCAGACTCGGTCGAACCTCTCCGTCGCTGCAAGCACTTGAACTTGTCCTTTTGGTAACAGATGATCACCAGCAACAGTGCGTTGAGCACCAACAGCGACGCGCCCAACGCGATGGTCACGTGCAGGGCCGTCGAATAGGCCGCGTAACCGGCCGCCTCCAACGTGGCCAGTGCGTCTTCGGCCGACGACGCGTTGGCCGAGCCCGTCCGGGCGGGCGGCAAGCACGTCGTGCCCTCCGTCGGCCACTGTGGCCGCGACGTGGTCGTCAGCGATTGCACCACCTCGGCCACCGTGCCGTTGGCCGTGAACCGGTTGACCGTCACGTGCTGCGGCGGCCGTCTAGACACCGGATCCGGCCTGACCACGCCGTCGTACAGGTCGGCGTCGTCGTGGTTCCTGAACAGGTTGTGCCGGAGTGCCACGTCTTCCATGCCGGCCCTGTGCAGCTCGGGGATGAGCCGCAGCCAAACGGACAGCTGATGAGCCCGGAAATGATTTTTCATTCTAGGCTTCATACCTGAAACATGAATATTAATATTAAAATATTATGTTTACATACAAAACTACTTTAAATTATTTTTATCAAAATCTTATAAGGGTTGTGTTTAACATAATGCAAATCCAGGTAAAATCCACGGAGTAAGTTAGAGGTGAACAATACTTTGAAAGATCCTAATAAAACACTTACAAAGCAACACTCAGACGTGAGTTCACATAAAAAAATCAGCTAAGTTAGGCCAAATCCTGTAGATTTGTAGGTACTTGTTATTTGAGTAAGTTACTAAATATAAGGAATATTTTGTTGTATTATGTAAGCAATAACTATTGAAAATAATAGACATTTCATTTAGTTGGGCCATGTGTAATATATTATGTTGATATTTGAATAAAATAATATTATAATATTCATATCTAATCTATTTGGGCTTAAATAAATGAAAGTACATATAACAAATTGGATATTTGTTCAGTTTGAATGATATTTGCGTTGGGTTAAAAAAAATATTACCAATTATTATTATACTACTAAAATAGGTATTACAAAATCACTCAAAAGCGATGAATGAATGAATTTTTGTTTGTTTTATACATTCTGGTAGTTTGAATTATGTCTATAAAATAATGTAATATAGATACTATGAAGTTATAATACGCTTGCAAATTGTAATTAAAGAGTATAGGTACTCGGCTGGTTTCAATAGCCGTCTAATCAAGTACCATATTAAAGAATGTAATTGATTTCAGACTTTATTATTTATCTATTATTATATTATATTTGTTACACGGACGATGAAAAAAAATATCTGGTTTAATAATTTATAGTAGGTACTATTGTGTTTTTTAGTATTTTTTTTTTTTTTAGTTTTATCAGATACTACCTGATATAAAAATGTTTATAGTAAAATTGATTTTGAATGGCACATTGACATTACTGAACCGTCAAGGAAATTGTTATAATGGATTGAAGAAAATTTGTTTTGAATATTATTATAAGAAATAAAAGAACGTTTGGGTATAAATTTTAAGTATTAAACATTTGGTGTTGATTTTTATGTTATTATTGTTTGTTTTTGAATGGCAAAACAACAGCAAAGAATAATCGTTTTGAACCTTGAACGGTGCGTGCTATCAAGTATTTTCAAACTTTGTACTCCATTAACAATAATTTGCTCAGGTATAAGTATTACTAATATAATATCTTCTTTTTTATATTTCACATAAACAAAATATGTAAACAACATGTAAATTTGATGCGAACAATAATTATTTAAAACAGGGATGCCATTTTTGTGTTGGCCTTTTAAGTTTGACATACACATTGTTATGCTCGCACTGTTATAATATGTTGGTTACATAAACATGATATCATATGTTATAACTTGGCGTCTGGTTTCAGCGTCCACGAACCCAGCTTAACGCCCTTTGTTGGTGTTTGTTAAATTACCGACACTTGGCCAGCTTGTACCACAAACGGTTTACACTAAAGTGATATATTTGCTCATAATAGCGGCGTGTTAAAGTTGTATGGACCAGCTAGTTTATATATTATACATGTATGTAAATCGTAACAGTAGTAAAAATACCGTGTAAAAAAAAAAAATACCGATAAATTGAAAGCCACGAATGTCGGATGGGGCGGGTTTAGGTCGAAGAAAAGGTTACCGTCTTGGAAGTGTGCAATGTAATAAATTAGAACGAAAACGCTTAGTTGCTAATTTACGGTTAGAGTTTCATTTTTTTTTTTTTTAGAAGAAGAAGAAATAATAATATATTACGGCAAAATGAAAGTATCATAGAGTTTGTAACTTTGTAACAACAACAATATGTTTTTAGTAAATTATTTCCAACGTTCACAAATCTTTCATGTACATACTTTTATAATTTAATATTTATTTGTAGGTCAAATAATTATAAAACTGGGCAACACAATTGTTCATTAATCACAATTACTTTAAAATTAGTTTTTGCGGTACATTTTTTAACTGTAGTCTTTGCATTTCTCCGTCATAGAAACACTACTGTTTGTATGCTATCACTTTATACTTACTTATTTCTAAATATTTTTGATGCACGGGGTCGTACTCGTCCCACGTGACGCTTCGAAATCTGTTCCTTTCCTTGGATCCGGAGTCGGGCTTATCGTCGTGATCGTTGGGGTCCCTGCGGAGCAAAGAAATCGCAGAAATACAATTTTAAAAATAATCATGCACCAAAAACGAATGTCGCAAGTCGAATTTATTATCCATGGATATTATTATTCGCTTGCGCAAAGCGGCACATTTGTCTTGTGTACGTACAACCGACCGATAAGGACACTTCCTCCGCCCCCCCCCACCCACCACCCCCGTCTCTTTTAGCTTTTGCCGGAGACAAATAACCAACTCGAGCAAAAGCGTTTTCTAATTCCACGGCCGAGGTCTACCACTACAGGGTGTGCCAAAGTTTCGAATGACTGCCGCTGGATGATGTCTCTGACACTGAATGTCTCATAGTGGTACTCGACCACTCCCTCTTTCGTCCAAGCCCTACCGGAGCGCCGTAGGTCCAATACTTGACAACCTACAGCCGTTTGAAACCCCACAATTATTTTTGGCACACCCTGTATTTCATAGTTTCGTACCCTTGTGCCGCCTCACCCCCCGTGGCACTGGCGATGTGTGTCCGGTGTATTAAAAAGAAAAACGGGTTAGACTTGAGCCGATCAAAAAACGGGTTACTATATATTATAAAAAGCTCATTAATCATTCAACACAAAGCGTTGTGTACGGTGTGTTTGCATTGAACGCCGCTTTGTTACTGCATTATACAATCAACAATGTAATCAGTCGGCCTTAGTACGCGTGTTAAACAAAACGTCATGTACAATTCGATCCATCACCGATTGAAGAATACAACTTTCAATTGGAAAAAAAAAAAAAAAAGACTATTCCGATACTGATTATTATTTGGAAAGCAACCCTTCGTTTGTTTACAAATTTTTATTATGTAAAATCTTATTACCGACTGCGTCAGTTGAATCGTTTTTTTAAATTTTTTATAATCACCGTCCTTGTTTAATGTTTTAAAAATGATCAATTTCTATAATAAAAAAAAAAAACCAACCTCAATAAATTGTATTACAACTATGTTATCGTCATAATGCATAATGCTTTTACCCTTTTTTTTTTAAGTTCCAATTTTAAAATAAAACAACTGCGATTGAAACACTTATTGGATATATTGTTATATAATTTACATATTTTTAATTACATATTATGCTTTATGGTAAATCGATATTGGAATTATGATTAAATAGGTGTTTATAGAAATATATGATTTTAACAGTTGAGTTACTTGCATTAACATATAATTATTGTCGTTAGTTAATATGGTGTTAATTATGATCTCGTATTATCTCATAAAAGTCTTAGGATTAATTTTAAAAAATTGTAATCTTGAACTCTATTATCTATTTCAATTAGGTTTACTGCTCGACTTACAAAAATAAATACAAGAAAAACAAATTAATTAATGCGTTAAAACTTAAAACTTTTATCAATGTCAGTAGTTGCATTCTTTTTTAATTCTTTTTTTTATAGATTTATCATTGATACTTGGAACGTTGGACGCGCGTTCGATTGGAAGTCTAGCAAGTATAATGAAAAATATGCAGCGTGGTCCGCACCGAATGACATGTCTTTTATTTTTCTAAGGTATCGTCGTGTCGAACAGCTTTGGGCATTGCCAAAGGTCTCCAAAGGACACACGACCAACACCTTCGTCACGTTTTAATTCCAAAAAGAAAGTACGTGCATAATAACAATAATAATATAAAAACGCCTTGCCGGGTTGGAATTTCATCAAGTGCTCGGTAGCAGTATCATAATAATAATAATAATTGTATGCAAAATTATTCCGTCTCCGCGACCAGATTAACGGTGCTGCCACCGTGTAAAAGTCAGTATAGCTAATCGTCGTTAAGAGAAAACAAACAGCAGCCGCTGTTGTGTACTTCCGGCTGTGCAATTAACGCCGCACGAATTATTATTATATTCGCCGGAAGTTTCCGCTCAAACAGCTACGGGTGTGTACGTACATAATCATCATAACGGCCAATACAATGTCAAATGCAAGCCACACAATACCTGTCTATTAAATGTGTTCATTCTGTTTTTGATAATTATTTTCAAGTTTTTATCACGTTAATTGGTCTAATTGAACAATTTGAGCGTATAATATTTCATTATTAATAAAATTAAAAACAAGAATGTGAAATGAATACACAAGGGGGAGTCTAAGAGTTGCATCAGTTGTGGAGAAAATGAGAGAAAACAGGCTGAGATGGTTCGGTCATGTTATGAGAAGAGATAAGGCAGAGGCAGTGAGAGGTGTTATGAAGATGAATGTAGAGGGAAGAAGATATAGAGGAAGAGGAAGACCAAAACAAAGATGGATGGACGGAATACACAGAGTGATATGAGGATAGCCGGGGTGATTGAACGAGATGTAGAAGACCGAGCTTTATGGAGGTGTAGGATGGTCTAGGTTGGTCGACCAAGTGTAGTTGAGAGTGTAAGGCGAAGAAGTAATAAAGAAGAAGAAATAATAAAATTAAAACTTCTTATACAAGTATGGAAACAGGGCCGGCGTGAAAAAAGGGAGGGGCTGAAAATAAAAATTCACTGCAAGTACATACATTTAAGCATTAGTCCTAGAGTTAAAATTTACACAGTTAAAAAAAATATATATTCTAATACAATTTTTGTGCATACGATTTTAGTATACCAGAGTGGGACTTCAGCCCCTCCCCCCCTTGTATCCACCCCTGTGTGTAAACAAAATAATCGTAGACCTTTTTTTTCTTTTTCATCTGATAATATTTATTTATGCAATACTTTATTTTTCTTTTCTTTTAAAAAAACATTTTTTTTTTATATTGACATTATTTTATTAGTATTTATTTGGCTGAATATTTCTGCTAAGCAAATCGCGTTGTACATATTTTGACAATATGCCGGAACACACACAAACCATCTGGCCACCACAAAGCTGATTAAATTGCCTCGCTCGTAACTAAGAATATAACAGTATAGTCATCAGCTCTTTCTTTTCATTTAAACCACCACCTTACACGTTCGGGATGACATAATTTAATTTGTTTCTCCATTACCTACTGTCTAGATTCAGCAGTGGTCAATCGAGTCCATTGTGTAATACCGCACCGGGCTTTTTATTGTCAACTCTCTGTACTTGGGTTGTTGTATATTATAATCGTGTTAACTATCTGTATAAGGTAGTGTAATAATTTGTATCAGGCCCAAGTTAAAAAGATAACTAAGTAATATAATAACGTATAATTACTATTTGCCCGAAAACGGGCCAAACATTTAGAAAATGAGATTTAAAATTAAAAATTTAATAAAATATGACGTATTATTCCAATTAATATCTCCAATTCGAATAAAACAACTTTAGTTAAAAACAAATTTTCGCTGATAAACAATGACCGCGAGATAATTTTATTTGATTGAGTTTAATAACGTTAAGACGTAGGTATAGATCACAGGAAAATGTTTTATTTTTTCGAAAAACAAAAATTTAACTGTAGGTATAATTAATTAGGTACCCACCTACGCTCGAGTTAAATTAATGACAAGAGATAAATTTAATTGTAAGTGTGTATAGAGAAATTGGTTACAATATATTCATGTTAAACGTGTGTGTTATGGATTTATTTATATATACATGTTATATGTTATGCGGTAAATAGGTATAGGTATAATACATACATCTCCATTTAGTCATTTACAATTTCAATTTGTTTTGACGAAGTCTTATTTTCATACACAGATATTCGTCGTACCTACCCAAATGCAAAAATAGTCAGACTAAAGTTTAAAAAAATAGAGTAAAAATATATTATAATATATTATATTTGAGATTTAAGTACAATTTAACTATTAATACACACGGCCGAGAACGAATATACAAATCGAATGTAAGTAATTTGTTAAATGTCAAAAAAAAAGATTTAGCGACGTTTAACGCGGAACAAAACTTAATCGATCACACCGTTCGAATGAATAATAATCATAAATCACAAACACGTTTTTACTTTATTTTTATCAGATTCCCGTTATCACATTTCAAGATATTTATTTATTTATTTACTTTTCCGCCATTACTGCAGCTCATACATATTTATGAATTCCTTGCGCATTATTTAAAGAACTAAGTCATTTCAGACAACTCTTAATGGAAATTTTCCAAAAGGTTTTCATTTTATTTTTTAATATATATGTATTATTTTTCAATCCCAAACGTAACAGATGTTTGCGAAAAAAAAAATATATATATATATATATGATTAGTGAGATCTGTATTTTCAGAGCAACATCTTAATAATTTCAGAACACTGGTAATTTAAACGTGTCGCAGTGAATGTAATCTTAAACGCGACCTTGTATATTTAATCGAATTTTTCGGTGGAACGGAAAACGTACTTTTATACATTGAAACAGTTGTACAGTTGTATATGTCCCGTTGAGTTACATAATATTCTTTCTAGATCCCATCGAAATTACATTATTGGCCAGTACTTTTTTTTTAAAGTATTTACCTATATGAAAAAATGTTTTTAACCATTTCAAGCCGTGACAGTTTATAATGTGCTTAACTTGTGCAGTGGATTTTGCATTATTTTTAAATTAACTATCATGTTTTCCTCGAGCAACTGTGTATGGTATTTTTGGCGTTGAAATATACACTTTTTTACTTAACGAATGGTATCGAGATCGTTTTGAAACGATGCCAACTGGTATATTGTAGATAAAAATTGAAAAAAGAAAAAACAATAAATTTGTTTGGAATGTATTAATAATAAACCACTGCTTGGGCACGTGCACGCACTGTGCAAGCCGGTAGGTGCTTTAAATGATGCGATAAACAGGCGTGTAAAATAATTTTTTATAAATATGTTGTATAATATAATAGTATCGAATGCTGTGTATTGTATTAATATTATTATTACAATCACCTGGTACCGCGGCCGCTCTGCAACGTCTAGATCATTTTTCACTAGCAACTATAAACAGTGCGACCCACGCAGATTGCCAAACAATGCCACCAGGATCACCCGGCACACCCTAATAGCGGCTAGCGATAAATATTGTCAGAAGCACCGAGGGGATACGAACCGGCGGCACAGGGAGCAAGCAAATTTAATTTGTGGTAACCACAGCTTATGAAGACACCCGCATGGTCGGTAAGAAATCAATGTATACCGTTATGGCTTTAGCGTTAACCGTGACAGAATGTGATAGAACACGACATCATGGTCATATCACTGCCAGAAATCTGTTAAAACCGACAAGAGTAGTAAATGGTAACGTAGAATAATTTAGAGATACAGATGTATTTCTGTACATGTCGTCAAAAATGTAGATAACATATCTCAAACATAATATCATGTTTTATCGAAATTAAATTTACCATTAAATGGGAAGTTTTTAATTTTACAACGTTTCCTATCTGGATGTAAAAATGTTTAAGATTTTCTAAAAATAAAAATATAAGAATTGAAGGTATGTTGCACATAAACAACATGTATAATTTGCCTGTATGAATTAGGCGCACCAATTAATTGAATTTTACAAATTATAAGCCGAAGTACTCTTACCGAGTACTTAAAAAAGTATCTCAAATATTGAATAAATATATGGGATGGTAAATTAAATTTAAAAACACAGCGAAAAAGCTCTTAGAGTACTATCTATTCGAATTTTAAAAATTATTATGTAGATTTTTTTTTAAACAGGTACAATTTGACAAAAAGTAACAAGAACTAGATTTTGTAGCAAAGCCTAATTAAGTATAAACCGATTATTTCAGGTACATTCTTACTTTAGCGATTTCCATAAAATCAAAATTATAGCACATTTGCAAGTATGTCATGATCATATTTCAGTTGTCTTGTTAGCGATGCTCATTACTGATAATATTATGTCTTTGGGGGCTACTCCGGTTACGCGGCAACGGATTATTTTTCTTTTTATGCTCTTAAACCATAATACACTAGCCTTTAGTAAAGCGCATTGTCTGTCACAATATCCATTTGATATATTTTGTGATATAATTTTGGGTTGAGTGCACCATAAAATAGGTGTAATAAAATTCACATTTAACGGCATAAAAACATAATAATATGCATCACCATCGTTCAATATTGGATATTGAGAGTTCTATTATTATTGTAATATTTTTTTATTTCCATAATGGATACCACACAACGGATTCCTATGGAAACTAATTGCAAATTAACAATCCACCAATCCAATGGTTCAATTACCAAGTTTATACTCGGTCGTTAATGCGGATGAACATTTTAATTTAATGCGAATTAACGATTGTACGAATGCGTGGTAAATAATTAATAGAGGTTTGTTAAATCGATAAAAAGAAAATGTAGAAACCAGAAGAGAAAAACAGTTTATAGTTCATAGTCCTCGTGTTTATTATTTAAACTGTATAATTTTCAGAGTGTTTGAGTTAATATTTATAATATTAAGAAAACGAACATTGCGTTATAAATATATAATTTATATATTATAATTATCATATTAAAAATTAATATATATATATTAAATTTATACATAATATTTTTAGAGCTAGGATTATACTAATATTCATACTAAATGGCGCTAATTACATATTGTATATTTGTTAAATGTTTACATTCAACAAGGAAGTATCAAACCATGGTTAAGTTTGATATAAAAATGATAGAAAACTTTTTTGGTTTTTTTGTTTTATATTTTAACAAACGTCACTTTATTTGTGATTTATAATTTTGTATGAACGATACGAATATCAAGTCTCATTCAAGTAGTTTTTTTTTTGCAAAAGTTATGACATTTATAAACGTATTAGATATATTATTCTAATAACTTGTTTTTGTAAACATTGTATATTCAAAGATAGTGTACATTTAGGCTATCTGAAACAAATATATAATATTCCCTTTTTTTTACTTTCAACCGAAAATATCTATCGAACGCTGACAAAAACTTTGTTTGCAAAGTCTACGGCTGAACGTTTACAAAAACTTGTAATATAAAATACTTAAGACTTAGCGTGACGCTAAGAAGCAAAAAAAAACTTACCCGGTTCTAGCGAAGTTGCCCAAATAGATGATCATAGCGTCGGATAAAGCAGCTTCTGCCTTTGTAAAGTTTCTGGAGAAATGGTTCATGCCGTCGGTCACCATTGGAGCTCCAAACACATAAGGCAATTCTTCGCCGTGAGCCGTGCCCATTCTCTGCAACATTATAATCATACATTTAGGTTAAAGCTCAAAATGAATAAACTTCAAATAAACTTTTTCACACAATCAAAAAAGTATGGCTTTTAATGTAAAACTTTAAGGGACAATTGACTTTAATATTACATTTTTGAAGTATGTACCATGAGCGTTAACTGTTAGTGTCTAGACTGATGAATGAATTAAATTTTTAAATGAGTAAACCCATTTTTTTAGCAACTAATAAAATTAAAAAAAAAAAAAACACTTAACTTATTCACAGTGCCAAGCTTATACAATTATTAGTACCCTAAGGCAATCGCTCTTTGTCACCCTTCGCAATTACACCCCACCTCACTTCCCCTCCTCTGTCATTATTTTTTAAAAACTGCGCCCTTTTAATTTATGCCACATTTACCGGCCAATCTCTCTCTCTTGGCACGCAGCTCGTCTTATACTATCGTTACAGGTAGAACTAAAATTGTATTTTGTCATTGTTGTTAGCTATTTTAAAGACGCGCAGTAAAAAGCACCGATAGTAAAAAAAAAACCTAAAATCAGCTACTTCACTTATCAGGACTCTTGTTTTTCTTCAGAACGTTTTTTTCTACGGATATACCCTGAAATCTGTGTACACCCACATTTATCAAGACTGGACTCGGATCTATAATGCGCCACCTCGGACAATTTTAAGAGTTTTTTTTTAATCCTTTATTTTTCCAGCGCAAGTACCTCTACTCAAGAATCTCTCATCTAGCATCCTTAGGGGTGCGCCTGGGTACGCCTGCGGTATTTTCAATCGCCACGCAATTGTTACTCCCACGCTATAGTTTACCGTCGCCGGAATTGTTATTATATTCTTCTTTTAATAACAAATAAATCACGCGGAAACGTCGTAATTTAGAATTACACTTTTGTAAGTCGACAGTGGGCAAAGTGTTGAAAACGGCATTACCGTCAAAATAAATTATACATTTCCACGGTTCGGTACGACGGACGGTATTATCGAGTCTTATGACTACACTGACTCTTCGCTAGTCGGGTTGGGTGTTCGTGATAAAAACAATAAATTACCAGTACTAAATAATTGGCGTGCATTGGCTCCAGACGGGGGTGGTGGTATATACGTGCTATATGAGGCGCTCAGAAGCCAAACCGATTAAGTCCATTGAATTGAATTTACCACGACAGACAGTTAAAGTTATTTGAAACAACGTATGTAAGTACAATTGCCAATTTTCTTAGCGCACTCTAGTGGTGAAAAATTCAACTATGGAGTTATCTATCTTGGCCACTGAAAATTATTCGCAATTTGAAATGAAAAGTGGAGTTAATCTCGGTTTGGCATCCGTGCCGGCCTCGTATAATATAGTATTGTAAACTGCAGATCTACACCACCGTCGAGTGTGTGCTTGGGCTGTTTTGTGTTAACCGTATATAAGTAGGTGCTATTACAACGGTATATTATTACGGAACGCCGTGACACTTGACCCGTTTGGACGTGTTTTTGTCACGGTGACAATTTCAAATTAGCCGCGAAGCCCCATCGAAATCGTCCGTTTGGAAATGGTCTGTCGACAGAGAGGAGTAGGTAGAGCAGCAGACACGGCACGGCATATTAAATTATCTATATTTGCCGTGATTAGCATAAAACGGCGGCGGCTGTGGCTGTGGTTTTATAATATAATATACATGCACACTACACATTTTGACGGTGGACGTTTTTAATGCCTACGGTTATACCTGCTTTTGAATTATGACGGTGTTTAATTCGGGTGCTGATTTTAGCACTTTTGTGTGCAACAACCGTGCAAAATGATTTCATATCCCCCCGCACCCCCCCCCCAAAAAAACAATCTCGTCTACCCCGGTTTGTCCAAAGTTTATCCAACGCTGTACATACACGACAATACTACTAGGTTTTTTTCGTTGAAAAATTACACTGTTTGTATATGGTCAATGATATGGTTAATACCTGCACTAACTAGGTGCAAAAAATTCTAAAAAAAAATTGGTATTTTTTTTTTTTAATGCCGCCCGTGAATTAAGCGCGGGATTAGAGAGACGATTTGGAAATAAATAAGAGTATATTTGAAAATGTATAAAGAACAATTTTTCTGTTCTCTGCTGGCGGTAAATCGTTTGTACCGTCTTATCTATATTTTTTCCGTTTCAATGTCTCCCACGGTGATATTGTTTAGTAAAAAGATAGTTGAATTTCTAAACACTGCGAAATTTAATGGAAGTTTTAGTTTTTTTTTTTTTACAAACTGTGGTTTATTCTAATAAATAGTTTCAATCCTTTTTAAATCATTAAAAAATTAAAATATGTGTATTATTTTAATTTTAGTTCCTAGTATTCTAATGAAGTTAAATGATTATTTTAAACAATAATAATGAAACAGATTTTTTAGACATCATATTGGAAGTTTTTTTAGAATAATTAATATTATCCCGAGATAAAGTTTAAATTTAACAAAAAATTAATTATTAATAAACGATAAAACTTTAGAAAATATTTCAAACTTTCAGTGCACGTTGTAAATACCTCAAAACTAAGTGCTAAGACAATTTCGAGATCCCAATTTCGGATCTAGCGAAAAAAATTGATGTAACTTTGGTTCTTGTTCCAAAATCTTGTTATGTAATTAATAAATTATGATTGTTGGCTTGTGTTATTAAATTACAAACTATAATACTGAATTTTTGTTATTAACAAGATTACAATTTTGAATGGTATAAACTTTGTTCAATGGGAGCGAATAGCTATAATATTGTATACCATTAGCTATTCATGTTTTAAATAGGCTTTTCTATAAACTAATTAGTATTAAAGCTGCAAGTGTAATAGCTGTTTTCTTCTGGTGTATGTGTATAGTAGCCGGAGGGAAAATATCAATGAAAAACCATAGGAATATATTAACAAAAGAAATCGTTTCAGCACAATCGGTGGTAGTATGACATTGATCTGAATTTATGAAGTTTATACGTTCACGTATGCTGCATGTTATTTCCTTATCAAGTTTCCTTTCTTCCGGTCTTACTCATGTGTATAAACGTCGTTACTGCTATTGTCGCCCTTTTCCATCGGGTACCCTTCCCCTCTCTCGCTCTCTCTCTCTCTCTCTTTATAGATATACTATTTTGCTAAATCAATTGTGTCGACGTCCTGTTGACGGTAAAACAATACAACAAAAGCCATGTAAATATGATTTACACTTGCGTTCCGATCGAGAGGGCAAGTATTTTGTCGAAGAACATCCGAACTCTATATATTCCTAAGTTACTATAAGTTCATACTATATACCTAACTCGCTCGTGTTTGTTTTCTATAGTCATTGGCGAAGATCAAAATGAGCATTTGGAAAATAAAGTATATTAACACATTGTTTTACTTAATGTGTATGTATAGTGCCAGTCTGCCCACAAGGGTTTCGAACATACACCGAAATAATGATATTTTGTAGTTAAAATACATACCTAACAGGTTATTATTTTTATGAGCTCAAAATAATGTAGGTATTGTATGGGCTTTTATTATTGTTAGTTTCAATCAAACTGAAACCCCGGGGACAAGCATAATATACATAATGTACATGCATATATCTATTATATACATGATCATAAAACCCGAGAGTATTGTATTTTGTGTTGATATAAATATTAAAACGAAAACCTACATTAAAGTCCCCCGACATTATACTACTTTTTTTTGGGCGTACACATAAACCATTTGTATCTAAATGTTTAGACTTTGCCGTACAAACAGGTTGAATCACTGATTTAAACGTTTATTTTCATAATGTAAAATTACAATGCAAAACTTTTGTAGAAAAACCATAGAATTTGGAATATAAATAATATTTCATTAGCCGAGCTAATTTTTTCTTTGGTCCTTCTTCAAATTATAAGAGTAACGCCACAACAGTCTAAGGGTTCAAATAACGCAATTCTAGATTAAAATAAAGAGATATTTTCCCAAAAAAGTGAATATAAGTCACTTAAAAAAGATACCCAACCTTAAAAAAAAAAACAGCAAAATTCCATTTACGGATAAATAAAAATCCCATCCCCCGGGAGATACGGGGTTGAAATATGAAGGACATAAGTTTTTTTTTTATCAACCGCAAAATAGTTTAAAATTAGGTTAGGTTTAAAATAGTATAAATAAAAATATAAGCACGCAGGATTAATATAGTTTAATTCGAGTTTTCTAATTTTCTTTTAAATCCGAGGACATAAAATATTATTAAATATAGACTTGATTTTTAGTTAAATTAAAATCGCCTGCATCGAACCCAAGAACAAATATAGTGGTCCTCGTTGCGTTTTCAATATAATATACACATATTGCATTCATTTCATCAATTCAGCAAGACAGTCGATTGTGTAATTGTACTCGTATATCAGTAAACTCGATGTGTGACATTAAGGACTATGAGTACAAATCTTTGTTGAAATATAATAATAGTATGTCTCCGCTTTATTATAGAGAGAGGGGGCGGTACAACGCGCATGTATTTGGTTCTTAACCCTCGACTCAACGCGCTATTCTTTTTGCTATAATTACAAGCCTGCGGTATTGTGCACAGTAGTGTTTATTTATTAATTATCCGCTTACAAAAAAGAACTTGATGTTTGTTTTAGCTTCGATGCAGAGCAAGTGTTGAAAAAAGATTTCCCAAATTTGTTCAGATCTCTCGAGACTCCCTGAATGCACATGTTTTCATGCATTACACAGAAAGTACCAGAATATGCATGTTTTCATTGAATGTTACTACTATTGGGATAGTTCTCAGCAACACCGAAGACCATTTGATTTTTGCGTCAGATTATACTGGCGGCAGTGAGCTTGATGAGTTCCAACTCGTGCAATATAAATTGTACATCTTTCTAGATAGTTTTATAAATTCGATTTGCAAACAGGGGGGGGGGCGGGGAGGTATGGCATAGGACTCTGGAAACAGATTCTTATTCTGTACACTCTATTCAGAGCCGTTTGTCCGTTCATCTCCAACGGGGAACAAGAACCACCCTGATGGTTTTTTTTTTTATATGGATCCGCCCGAAGGAGGGTAAAACAATTTCGGCTTACCTGAGGGTAGTCGCCGTCTCTGGTCTGGTAGTCGAACACGTAGAAAAAGGATTTGGTCTTGCGCTTTTTGGGATCACCGCTGGCCGCCGGGGGCTTAGGTTGGCTCAGCAAGTCGCCGGTGTGCACCAGCGGTGCCACATATTGGGCGTCGCTCAACGCCGCTATGGTGGCGTCCCTGGTGTTGATCGGATGAAGCACGGTGCGCTCCCAGTCCGTGTACTCGTTGACGACGGTGAAGAATATCTCGGACAAATGGTAGCTGTACGCGTTTCTCACGTACGTGCGCAGGATCTTGTCCCGGCGTTCTCCCTCGAAACCGGCCTGCAAGAATGAGAAACAATAAAGAAAAAGAAAAAAAATCGTCTTACAACTTTCTCGCGACACGGCCGCGGTGGCGCAGACGTGACGGGAAAACGTGGCGAGGTGCACACGCGAGCACGTTAAAGGGAAATTTCTCTACAGAGTCTTTTTTTTCTTGTTGAAAACATCTAAAGGAGAAATTAAAGAAAGCCAAAAAAAAAAAAACACCATTTCTCTTTTTAACGCCTAGCTGTGTACACTACACGTGCCGCGTATCGTTCATCGTATTTTTGTATACATGTACACCATACACGTGTATATTTATAATAATAATATATCATGGCGAACAGTGTAGACGGAATTTGATAAACAAAACGCCTACGTTGATGTATATTTTTATTATACGAAAAATAATATACACCGCACAGCCTTTGAAGAGTCTTACCGACTTACCGCCAACCCCCCCCCCTCCCTGTTTCGTCCATCAGTCTTTCATAATAATTAGTATTACCCGACTAATTCATTTGCACTGATATCCTATTACATTAAGGTAAAAATACTTGAAAGAAAATATTCCCCGTGTCATTATTTAAATAATAATTTATTATCATAAAAGCAACGTGTTTTCGATATTAATTTCTCGTCCAACGAAAGATCATAAAAGTGTAGTATCGAGAAAGTTTTTATACATTTTCAAGCAAAACGTTTGAAGTAAAATATTTTCGTTTTAACTTTAATTAATATTACGGCGTTCGTGCTTTCAAAAGTTATTAGTTAATAATTTATTACCCAAAAGAGTTCTTTTCGCAATTACATGTAACCGATCAGTAACAGGACTGTACAGTTTATTTTGTAAATTACATTTTATTTTCAATAGTAAAAAAAAAAAATGCTATAGAGTTACATATTTTATTATGAAAATAATTTACTAAATGTATAATATGTATCGACGTGAAAGGATTGTGTGGATTATGCCAACGGTGAAATTAAAGTCTTTACCGGCCCGAATTTATTACTTTAAAATACATTGAAACGCATTTGTGTAAGTAGCAGTTCTTCAGTTTCAACAGTAGTTTTTTTTTTGATACTCAGTTATGAACATTTTGAAAACTTTTTTTTGCCGAAACAAGGCATCAGTTCTTGTGAAAAATAGACATAATAATAAATATTATGTTATCACTATATTGGGGAAAAAAAATAGTTGTTATTATAAGATGTATTAATACTATTATTACACACACAGCATATCGAGCAACGAGAAAATGGAATACTTCGGATTTGAAACTTTTGAACTTTCGGAGAAGAACCAATAGACTGAAAGCTATAACGAACGCTGTAAGTCTGAGTTTGCGGCCATACCTGTATGTCGTTCGAGCTGAACCTCCACAGGGCTTCGCTGGTGACCACGCCGAACAATAAATCATACCTGTTGACCGCGTTCTCAAAGTCGAACTTTTGAAACCTACCGCCAAACGGCACGCTGGACCGGCTGTACCCGTCGAATTCCGGTAGCAGATTGGTGATGACGTCTTCTTGGTAATTGCTTTTGACCACCACACCGTCGACGCTCGGCCCGAACGCACTGAGGTAAGTCGGCAGCGACACGGCCGCCGACATCAGCTGGTCCAACGGGACGTCCCGCAAACAGTCGACAACCGGTTCCGGATCCGTGTTGGTTCCGTCCGCCGAACAGTTGACTTGCTTGGCCAATTGCATCGCGTAGGAAACCGGGTCTTCCACCAGCGCCCAACTGCTGAGCGCCGAACCGGACAGCAGAATGGCTCGGTGAAAAAGACCTGCACAAATTTTAAGTAATACAGTTAGCAATAAAATTATTCGTGTTCAATTTGAAAAGTTACAGTTGCTAGTTATGTTTGCTCTTCTTAAGAGGGCGTCGCACCGCCCATTTTTAAGGGGTAAAGTATAGGCAATTTTTTATAAAATCCTTATTTAAAGGTTAAACCGCGATGTGTAATTATTTATTAAATTGAATATTTTAATAATCGTAATAATATCGTTATTCAATTCGGTCTATACCCGTGTTATTAAACGGGCCAAGTGTTAAGCAATACAAATAAAACAGCAGTGTTGCTCATGAAAGTACGAGTGCAGTGAGGTTATGAACTAAATAAATAACAGACTTGGCTACAATGTCAATACATCATTACTTTGATAGGCTGTCTTTTTCGAGAGGGGGGTCTGGAATTTGGCAAAATATTATTGATATATTTTACTCAAGCGTAAGTTTTATTCCGGTCAGGTTTTCCTCCCTCATTTTGTCACAAAGGTTTGTATCTTTTTTTTTTGTAAAGTTCATAAAAATAACCTTTTTATTTTATATTCACTATATTTTTATATTTTACACTACATAGTGTACTACGATTGGATCATTTGATCGAAATTACACGGTTTATCACCTTATGCTCAACTTATCGAGTTCAGGTAAAACATTACAGAGTTTTTTTTTTAGTTTACTAACAGCCCATAATCCACGTCTGCAAGTTTAGCGGTTGTTGTTATCGATACGGCAAAGTGGATTTATTAAACTATCGACAGCGATTTATGCTCTGTGTCTGTTATGAAAGGTCTGAAAAACGGTAGTCGTAAAATGCAGATCCGGAAAGGCTATAAATAATAATAAAAAAAAACTCCTAAAAAAGCCATGAAAATGATACACTTTTGTTTTGAATGACCAAGTGCGAGATTAGCAGTTATATCTTCTTCAGTCTTCACATATAACTTGTACGTATATTATAGTAACTAGGTTTTTGCACTGTAACAATTGAAAACTATTAAAGCTGATTATTAATAAAAAAAAACCAATGATGTCGCATGTACCCGGTAAATAATATATAACGTTGTTTTTTTTTTATTAGAAAACAAATTTACTATGCATAATAATGATTATTAAATTTGGGAGAGAGTATTTGCCGTTTTTGGTACTTAATATTTTACTGAGTTTCGTCGGTACTTAAATACACTTATAAATATTTATAACAAATCATTATGCACTCGGGAGCAATTTATTATGTGCTAAAAACATGCTGCTACCAAGTTTTTTCAAGATAATTTTGTAGTTGATAAATTGTATAATTTATGGGGGGGGGGATTAACTTTTTAAGAAAACCTATTTGCATCCAGTTTATTGATCTAATAGTATACCAAAATGGTTCAGTTCCTTTTTTATCCTAATTATATAAGCTCAGAACAGTAGTTTTAGTTTTTTTTATAGTTTATAATATCATTGTTTTTCTTCTCACAGTGGCTTTTATTTATTATTGTATAAACTCAGTAAAGTACACAATACACGGTACTAGGCAAGGTACAAAATTAGTTCTTAACCGATAAAACATGGAACGGTCATCACTATTAAATAGGTATATATGTATATATTTTGTCAGCATGAAAAATACCGAAAAAATAAAATGTTTTAAAAACGTTTGCAGAAATACTGTAAGTCAAGAATAAGTATAACAAATTACATACCCGTGTAAAAAATATGCGGTTATTTAGTCTAGAAAGATGATCACGAACCCTTTAAGATAAGTGCACGTCTTAATGCTAGGATGTAGGTTGGGTTAAAATATGAGGATATTATTGGCCAAAGAACAATAATGCTTTTGCTTTTGTCATTTTTTTTTTTTTAAGACTATCGTAAAATCGTATAATACAAATGTTTCGTTGTAAACTGTACCGACTAAATAGTTTTAATAATAATAAAAAAAAAAACTGCCTCGTAAACTAATTTATGACTGCGTTGGAGAAAAATGTTTGAGAGTAAAAACTCATTAAAATATAGTCTCTGAGTAAAAATATATTATATTTTGTAATTGGAATTGGAAATTGGAAACTTAAGAAAACACATTTCTTGTACGTTGTTTGTGAGGGTTATGTCTTTATTCGACGTATAATTTATGTAAGCGCATACACTTGTGTTGTTTTGAATGGTAATATTTGTTCTCATTAATTAATTTGATAATTTGGTCGTGTTGACTTAAACTTTTCAAGTATTCTTTATATTATTTAAGACGCAGGTATACGCAGAGATTAAGTGACAAGACAAATGAGTTAAGTTCGGCCATAGAATTAGGACTTAGCATGAAGTTTTTGTACTTATTTAACACATAATCTTCAGATTGAATAATTATGTGTCGAGAGCCTTTTAACCGAATATGCGAATATTTTTTAAAACATTAAAAACTATAAATAAATATATATATATATACATGTATACAACTGCAGTACAACAAATTGGGAAATGTATCTCAAAAAGTCATCAAGACTTATTCGAAATGTTTTCAGAATTCTTATCGCATCAGATGGGTTGGTACATTGCAACGAAAATAGGTCGCTTAAGCTTAAAAAAGAACCTTTTGAAATCTCCTTAAAACCGTTATAAGTTTCTGGCTGTCCTGAAGCCATATCAAATTCAATAAATAAATAACAACTACATTTTTGTTTACAACTAATTTTTGAGAATTTTAAAGTCACACTTTTCAACTTACTGTTTACAAATAACTACCTATTTATTCAACAGACAATTCATATTTTGGGCTTTTACCGCAAATCGAAGGAACAGTTTAAACGCAAAAAAAAAAAAAACAATACTAAATTCGAAATTTATATTAACAATAAAGTGTAAAAATAACAGTTTGTCTTTGAATAAAAAAAAATAAGCAACTTGCCTACCAACATATCATATACTTAAATATGCTAGATAAGGCGATAATGGTCTTAATACACACCAAAGTCAAACATATTTTTATCTAGCAAATGACGTCCAAATTTATTATCTTATATATATATATATTAATTCTAAAGGTTTTTTTTTTATACGGTAGTGCTAGTACTATATTTACATATAAAGTGTGCGCTTCAACGTGGATGATATTATAATCCCCGGGGTTGAGTATAAACTTTTAAAAAAATCACCATAAAAACAAACACAAAACTGAGTTGTTTAGAAACCGTGGACGCAGAAGATTATGAATATTTATTCCACCGGAATAAGAATAGTAATCGTGATTTCATTATTTACCGAAATATCTTTTAAAAACAAAAATAACATTATCAATAAGTATAGTTATGGACAACCGTAGCTGTTATCGATTACTATAAAACAAAGCAGCGGCCTTAAAACGAATCAAAAGCCAAATATAGTTTTGTTTAAAATAAGAGGATGAGATTTTATAAAAAATGAAAAAAAATGAAAGACACCACCGTGGTCGTAATATTTTATTTTATAAACCGTGTCCCAAGAAACGTTGGATTCAACGGCCTTATAAGTATGTACCATTTGTCAACTTTATGTGTGCGACAAGGGGAGACAAGGGCAAGGGGGGAGCGCCTGTGTCCTGTTTTGTTTTGGAATTATTCACAGATATAAATTTTGTTTCCACAGACGTTCTACACCGTCCTATACTGCGGTTTCGACGACCAGCTGGCGAATAGTAAAATCCTATAGTGATATCATGACCAATACGTGAGCAGGCTTCACAGTGTGCATTTACAGGGCGAAATAACAGCGCAAAAAACACAAAGACAAATATACTTAAGTAGGTGCATAGATCATAACACGGGCTAGGATAGTATATGTATTTTTTTATGTATCGCTAGTACGTTGCGCAAATAACGCATTGTTTTTTCAAAGTTCCATTAATTTGGCTGCGTTTCAAAAATAATAACAACAATAGCACGTTACAATACGGTTTGCACAAATAGTCAAACGTTTTTCAAACGCAAACAACAGTGTTTTTCAAACGCCATTTATGTAATATTATCAATTTTGACAATAGCGAAAACATATCGGCTATTCTCCACTGTTGTCCTTTTCGAATGGTCTATGTGTGAACGTTATTGCCAGTTTAAATGTTTCCGGTTTCGGTTGAGTACACGACTCGAGTGAATCTCATCTCGGCCACAATTGCAATTAGGTGTATTACCTGTGACGACGGTGGGAGATATCATCAGGAAGTTAATGCAAGCAGCTCCAGGCCCGTGACCCATCAGAGAAACGTTTTCAGGATCACCACCGAACAGGGCGATATTCTGTTGTACCCAGTGTAGCGCTGCTATTTGGTCCATTAGACCGTAGTTGGACACTCGACCTCTTGAATTTGGAGAGCCATTAGCGTTTAGAAACCCTGAAAAAAAAAATCCTATTATAACTATGTGTTATTTAATAATGCTCGGTACGAAAACTGTAATGGAGTTATAAAACCGACCCCGTTTTCTTATTATAATATTCGTACGACTAGTAACAAAACACAAAGGGGCGACGTCGTCGTTGTGTTTCTTTTGGATTTGAAAACAAATGTCTGACGGCAGTATTGTTTAATGTAGTTTTCGTTTTAATTAGCGTCGTTATTGATATTTTAAGATAAAAACGAGTAGTGACACTACAAGAGGATTTTCTTGTCAAAACAAAACAAACGGTACGGTACGTTTAATCCATTTATGAAAAGTTATAACGATGGTAGTTCGTCGAAAAAAGTAATTAAACGAAAAAAAACAGTTTTGATATATACATTTTTTTTTTTTAAGATTTTAATAAACCTTAGAAGTTTCGTGTTGCCGTTTGTGTTTATAATTAATGCAAAACAATATCATAAATACTTCAACGGTCTTTCCTTTGTCGACCCCCCGTGCTGTCACACCGGATTTGTTTTTTCTTTGATTTAGATTTGTAATTTATTGTCAACAAACCTCAACGAAAATCAATTATGAACGATACAGTTTTGTTCGAACCTAATTATTGTGTAATGTAATTTTTTTTTTAAGAAAAGCGCCTTTGGACTAACTTGAATACCACATTTACATAAGAATCAACCTGTATAATATATTTATTTCCATTTTTCTTTTTGCCATTTACTTATCGTCGTACCTAGTTCAAAATCTGATTGACAAAAAAAGGAAGTGTCATACACATCAAGAAAAAATAGTATTTTACCCGTATTAATTTTACCCGTTCCTATTTCTAAGCGTGTCTCCTATTATATACTATGCAGTGTTAATTATTAAATACCGTACTATTATGAAAAAACTTACTCGTGGGGCTTGTGATAAATGGGTTAAGTCATTAAGTGAGTTTTCGCAGGTGATACTGTAATAATATTTGAAAGTTTGCTGACAGTTTCATGACTGGCGAAATCGCCGTTGGTGGGTGAAAAAAGAAGCGCGGTAAAGTTATATCCGTATATATGTAGGTTCATAACTAAATTAAATTTCCTCAGCATGTTGATCTAATAAATATTCAAAGGCTTGGGGGTTTCGCGATTAAATTAAGTTAGGTGACTACGGCACTGTATTATTATTATATATATGCTGTTAAACGTCAATATATGTTAAAGCAAGCCGAGAGCGACAACCGAATCGCCTACAATCACAGCGACGACATAATTCGATGGTTCAAAGCTAAAACAATTGCAGCTTAAATATCATTTTCCCAGCAAAAACCAGGAAAAAGTACTGTAGAAGTTCTCGATAAATTAAAAGCGTATTACAGAACCTTCTCAGCTTTATATGACGAATTCGTCCACATCGCACGTTCGAGGAAGTAAGATTAAAAAAAAAAAAAAGATTTCAATAGACTTTTGAATTTCATTTTCAAATACAAATAGATGGATTAATTCAGTTGTAATATAAGGTCAATATAACAAAACCAACGTCAAATGATACCCTTTTTGGTTAATTAATAATGGAAAAAATTACAAATTTGTTTAATTATTGTGTACAAAAAAAATGTTTGTTTTTGAACAAGAACCAACATAAATATATTTATTTGGGGATTTTTTTCCCGCTAAATTCGAATATGGTTTCAGAAGCACGTCAAAAAAACATGTTTTTTGAAATGCAAATAACACATCAGAAATACCTAAATCAGCGATTTTTACAAGTGTGGATTTTATTGTTTCTTTTCAAATCTTACACTGGCTAGTTTTTTAAGTAATAATCGATCAAGACGTCGTCGTTTACCTAGTCGTCTCATGTGCGGAAAAAAATAATCAAAATATTTTTGTCTATTACTTATCGAATAATGAACCGTATAATTCAATTGGCCGTGGGGTCAGTAAACGATAGGATTTTATGTTTTCCAAATAATATTTTAAATCCTATAAGAGAGAACGTTTTCTTCGTTTTGACACGTTTTCGACGTGTTCTTTGTCAGCAGTACGTGGGCATTTTTTTTTCACCCAATCGTACACATTATTTCCTTCCGATTTATCCAACACTAAAGCCACGACGCGTTTTGTTAAGAGATTTTCTGTGTTTTTCGGTTTCCTGCAAAAAAGCCTTAACTGCCGTACACGTTTTCCGCGACCATTTCAATCTAATAGTGTTGGTCGAACGTCTATCTATTGCTTTTAACCTTTTAAATTACATTGTACAAGAATCGTATACAGGATGATGAAAATAAGCTTTTTTATCGTTCAATAAAAAAAAAATGTTATTTTAAACGAAAAGTCTTAGACGGTATCTTTTTAAAAGTCAAGTAGTAACCTAATTAATGTGGCTGATTACAGGTATTTTTCATCAAAATTGATCGACAAATTTGTATTCTATAACCGTGCGTTTATAAAAGGTCAATCAAAGTTTAAGTGTGTTTCTATTTGACCTTCAAAAGTTATATTATCAAATTGTACAATGAAAACTTTTTTTTTTTAACGTATGTAACATAAAACGACAGAATCAGTTTAAATATTACTCAAGTCTAATCACCATTCAATACATTATGAAAAAATATTGATCTAATGTTTAAAAAATAAATTGTAATTTTCATGTAAAATTCTGAGGATTAAAACGATTAGAGACATCAAACACAATAATTATACCAACCACTTAAGTAACCGTCTAACTTTTAATGTTAAAAAAATTATGACACTAATAAAATTGTAAAAAGTTCAGTTGTAAATAAACACCAAGAGCAGTCTATAGTTATATCTTTAATTATAGGTATATTTTGCCTACCTATTTTTTAGGACACTTTCTATTTAGACTATTTACGTATAGGGCATTATTTGTAGGTATTTAAAACGTTTTTGTTTTGAATTTTTGCAATAAACGTATTGAAGAGAACAGTATTGTTTAACCTCTTGTGGTAAACCGTTTAATTTTGATCATTGGCAGATTACTGTTAATAAAAAAACAATGAAAACTATTTTTATTGACATAAGCCAACAATTTGAATAAGGAATAGTGAGTGCAGTCCAGTCTTATATTGTCTAGCAAGATGAAATGTAAAAACACTAATGGTGTCCATTAAGTCGACGAGAAAATATAAAATAGCAATGATCCTTCTAATTAGCAAAAAGCCAAACATAACGTTGAACAATTACAAAGGAAATAAAGCTGCTAAAGGCTATTTTAGTAATGAAGAATGATACAATTGATTGGGTTGTAATGATTTTTAATAGTGGCGTAATAAAAATTACACATAAAAAAACTTTGTGAAACAACTTCTCGCCAAGTAACATAATAAAATAACTGTAAAAAAAAAAAAAAGTGTCACAAATAAAATTTAATTAAATCATTATTAACTACGTGTGTAATACTGCGATAGCCAAGTGAATAAAAATCTAATATAGGTACTGGGCTTTTTTTCTCTATTTGTTTACCATCTTTAACGTTTTTCTCTTTTTCTTTAATATATCTTTTTCCTCGAACCGTTGCCTTTTATTGCCTGCGAAGCGTGTAATTTGACATTCCCTTAGTTTAAGTAGTTCACCAAGAAGTATGGTTATCACTGTGATTTACTCGCGGGAAACGATTAACTTATTTTAATTTTTGCTATATTAACACGGCAAACCATAAATGGCAAGCCTTAAAATCAAGACACAATTACTGCTGTTTCGAAAAAGTTGCTCGGAATAGTATACCAATGTCAATACTCATTACAAAAAATATTATATCTATATTTTTTTTTCAAAAATAAAATTATTTATAACCTGTTGTTTTTGAGTTGTCATCCCTATCTGGGATAAATGTGCACAAACATTAATAAATTACAATTATCGATATTTTTATCATGGAGTTTTGAGAATTTATTATCACCAATGAAATTGTAGCGTTCACAAATCATCCACAATTTCTATCTGTGATTGGTTTTATGTAAACCGTCGCTTGAGATTATGCCATAAATTATTTCACAAGTCGCTGTATTTTATAATTTGCAAAGTGTACAAGAATGTTAATTCTTTGTTGCGGTATCAGCTGAAAACGGGTCACCCAATTAAGCTGTAAACCATAGTTTTAATTGTTTAGAGCTGTTTACTAACAAGGACCAAAGTACAGCTAGAAGTGTCCGTGGACAAAAGTGGACTTTAGCGACCCATTTGCAGTTCCCTCCCTTTTGGGGGTTTCTTTTTAATTATTATTTTCCGTGCAGGCAATATGTAATACGAAATCCCCATTGATATATAATAATGAATAAAAATCAATTACCAAGGACTCCCAGTCGGTAGTTCAACGTGACGACCACTAAATCTGCAACACTGGCCAGCACTCGACCGTCGTACGGATTGCCAGAGTTCCATTCGTACGATTCGCCGTGAATGAAAACCAGAACGGGGTATTTTTGAACAACTCTACTGCCTGTAACAAAAACGAATAATTAGTATACTTAGACTTGATTAACACAGAGAAGTACAATATAGACTATTAGCATATGAGTATTAAAACTTGGCCATGTATCTAACAGTCTGTAAACGGGCTAAACTGTTTAAACTAACTGGTTTATGAATAGAAACGGCCCAGGGAAATAAATCACCGGCTTCCAGTGATTACCCTCAACGGCTGTGTAGACCCTTAATGGTTCATTAGCCCGTTCCGTGGTGGTTAAGCAGCATTCGTACTTAAAAAACTATATTTAAGAGACTTCGACGAAAAGACGATAGGTGCCATCCGGACTCGATAGCCAGTTTATGAATTTGCGCCATGCATGCAACTACTAAATAGGTATTATCATATTTTCTTCCGTCAATAATATGTGCACAACGGACACACGACTCGATATTAAGATTTATACAAAACGGTTGATTGAAGTCATAAAACCGCCCGTAATAACCATTACAATAGCGAATAGAACACCGGGTTTAACACGAATTGATCCGATACTTGATAATTTTAGATTACCGTCAAGTCCAAGTCAAACAAGCGAAACAATTTTGCCTACTGCCACGATTGGCCTTGAACAATAGTGCTGTGTACAGCCTACGCACACTAAGAGCGGAAGTTTATTATTTTTCAATTTCGTTTCCCGCCGACAAAAACCGTCACTTTATACTCGTTACGATGTTTCTTTAGGTACTTCGCCCGGAGACGTTCTGATACGCACATAAACATACAGACAGTGTAATAAAATATTTCCAGGAATAAGAACACAAAAACACTGATACCTTGATACCTAAGATTAAGTAAAACTTCTCCAAAAGTTTGACTTAACACGTTGTATATAAATGGGGATCGTCCATTATGTATCCTCAACATGAAAACATAATATTTGTTTTACAAAAAATGCATGCAAACTATTTTACTTGGGCTCATAATAAAAGAGTGGGTACTATCATGGACTTGAACATTTTCGTGGAGAGCTATTTTCCATTTTTCTCACCCAAAAGGTCTCCTAAATATTTTGTAGAAGGATTATTGTATTAATGATTCAATTTGTACTAATACTTTTTTTGTTTTAACAAATTTTACTTTTACAACGATAGCACTAAACTATTGTATACAAAATTGGAATACAATTCTATGTATAAGTTTTACAACATTGACTTCTTAGGGTTATAATAAAGAACTAATTTATCTTTCGTAACTCGCTTAAGAGCAGTTTTGATCCCACGGAAGGCGATGTTAATTTCAGATTCGTATCAGTTTAGTTTCGTTTCAAAATTATGTTATTAGTATTATCACTTTTTTCATCGCAATATACCTAATGGTTCGGTGTAAGTTGTTCAAGTCAATCTTACTCAATCTTTGTCCTATTTGAATGTTATAAAAAAATCTGCCGGACAATATGGACGTGGTAGCTTACACATTTTCGTTTGTACCGGATCGACTTAAATTTGTGCTGTTTCCTAAAGTACATTTGGCGAAAGCAATGTTATAAAAAATATAATCACAGCCAAGTTGAAAAAACATTTTTTAATAGTTATTGCACTATTACCCGAGTACAAACACCGGCATTGCACGGACCAAGGATCCGCTGAATCCTAACCTGACCGAGGGTATTAGCTTTAGACGCGTGTACAAGGAATGCATGTGTGCTGGTATGTAGTACACGATTTTAACATTTTGCATTCTCCGTGCGCGCACAACAGGCTGCTCAAACTAACAGCGAGTCGCTGAAAGCGGTTTTACTCGTGTCTAAGCTCATAATCCAGCGCTGCGTCCGGTTCCGGAGATATATATATATACATAGGATACATACACAATACACAATAGTGGCCGTGGAAAGTGGACCGGAGCTGCTTTGCTGGCACAAGACGGTCTCTGAAAAGGATTCGCGCAAAGTTGTGAGCTAGTATATTTCGGAGACGATTTATTAATCAAGGAGTGAGATAGAGAGAGAGAGAATGTGCTCTGGCCGGAACAGCAAATGGAACGGGCAACAGGGCCGAGGGACAGATTAAAACTTTAGGCAAACACACACTCTTCGTGGCCGTGTTGTGGAGAAGAGCCGTGTCCGTTTTAGAATTCCGGACAGCGGAACATCTGTTGCCGTCCCGCGCCAACACACAGTGTACATTAGGCGACCGGGTCGTCTTATATAACACAACCTAAGCAAAGACGGTTGTAAAACCCTAGATCCGGCCTTTGACGTTTTATTCGAAGAATGCGCTGCTGGCGGTTTACGAATTAAACCTTCATAATTATTTCGACATCAACAAAATATGTCAAATCTTCAACTGTACTGTTGTAATAATAATTTCCACCGACGACAACAACAACGCAGTCTTGTTTTTTCCCCCGCCGCCCAACGCATTGTACAAAGAAACATTAGTCCAGTGCACACTATTATTACCGCATATAAAAACATGTCTTGTTAAATATTCATAATTTGGATGTTCGCTTACTACTTTGATGACAACTGAAACGGTTAGGTTGTGTCACCAGTATGAAATGAAATGTGTTTTATATGCACTCAAAAGAATTTTTTTTTTTTTTTTACCCAAGAGTTCATGTGTAGTCGGTTCAAAGGGTTTTCATTTTATAGCTGTTGTGTACGTATATCAATTCTGATGTTTGTTTTTAACGAGAAGCGGTTTCATCATACGTCTGATGGATAAAACACCATTTATGTAATACGGCAAAAAAAAAACAAAATGATGTACCATACACATTTAAAACTGATCTATAATAACCTCCATTTGTAATATTTGAATTGCGTCTAGCGCGTTTCGCGTCAAACGTACACAGTTAAATTATTTTTTTTTTCCCACTTTTAATAGGAAATGATTTTTTTATGGAACACAGTGTTTGTCGTCATTTATACATTTTATAGTACAACAATCGAATACCCTTTAGTCCTTCGGAGAAAAAAAAAAGGTAAAATAAATAAGTTTTTTTTCTAAGCCCGATAAGAATATTAAAAAAAAAAAATCATAGGATTTCCTAGAAGGACATTTTTCATTATTTTTTTATTTTCCAGGCGTAGTTCTAAGAAATACATATTGGAATTTGTATGGTAAAACTACGGCTTTAGTACAATGAAAAAAAATTGAAAAATTATATATATTTTTTTATATGAGAACATTTAAATGTTAATTGGAGGTTAAAAATATACTAGGCCACTCGTTCCAAGTATGTAGCTTGCGAGTGACACGGACAGAGTTAAACTTAACTTGCTACGAAAAAGCAGGATTCGATTAAAAAACGCGACCTCACGTAAACCTACGTGTTATGCTGTACGGTAAACTGAAAAAAGTTTGCATTAAGCACTTATTGACAAAAAAATAAAAAAAGCTCGTGTATGTAAACCAATCGATTATCAATTTTTGCAACGTACGTCTGCTTAACGATCCGAGATAACGACGACGGCGGCGGCTTACGGGTTACTACCCTTGAGGCCCGCCATTGAATCGTTGAAAATATCCGGATACGATTTATTTCTTAATTATGTCATCGGTGATATGTTCGGGGATTTTCTCTTCTCTCACCCCTCCCCCCGTCGGTTCACACAGTCTCTTTGCTTTGCACACGCCACGCCGTCTTATCGACATTCGGCACTGATTAATGACTTTGAGAGCACATCACTGTCAACCCCTCGCCGGCATCGAAATCTCATCATCTTCGCCGTCGACGACGGTTTTAATCATCATTATTATCAACTCGAAAAGTTGTCGAAGAATAACCGAACCAGCCTTAACAAACGTCGATGAAATTATAATACATGTCTACAAGGCAGTGTGTGTGTGTGTGTGTGTGTGCACATAAAGAGCTAAACTTCGTTAAGCGAATAAACCTTTAGCTCGTCTGTTAGGTATGATATTATAATATGTATTTTGTTTTTCCCATCGCCAACGCTGGCTGGTTTCGTATTATGCTCGTGTGAAAATACCGAAATTCTAACGGCGGGCAACGCAGAATCAAATCACGCAAATGGCAGAGAGAAAAAGTCAGGTTGGACTTGAAATAAAAAAGTGAGGGAACGGTAAGAAGAAAGAAAAAAAAAATAGGAAAAACCGGCCATAAAACAACAAACTCCTCCCCGGTGCTATTTTTATTTCATTCCCAGGCGTTAGCGGGCCCGGCAATAACCCTTATACGACACATTGGAATTGAAAAATCGGTTTTCGCAAAGGGCTCTGCTGAGAATCGTATAATCGGTGCACCAGCTGTACGGTTGTCCCTGGCACGTTAAAAAACAACCAACCACGTAATAGTGTCGTAAGATCATCACGTCGGGTTCTGTTAAAGGTATATCGTGTCGAGAACCGCAAAGATTTTGGCCAAACGTTGCCACATAACTAAGAAATACATTTTAACCAGGAAGCCAAGAAACTGCGCCAGAGGTGCGCACGGTAAAAACGTATCAAGTGTCAATAATGACATTGATACACGTGTCGATGATTATCGTATCATATCATTATATTTGTATTAAAGTGTTCGTATAAATAGTTTAAGAAGTTCCTTGAAGACAGTATTCCCGAAAGACTACTCAACGGCGAGAAAGAATTCGTTAGTCTCAACAAAAGTTTAATGTTCGAAAGTAACGATTGAATTGATGATTTTTTTTTTTTCAAAACATTTTCAAAGAAATCATTCCGTTTTATTCAAATTGCGTGTAGAACTTTTAAAATCATTTCTGGCATAATAGTTTACAAAAAAAAAAAAAACATTCAATGGAACTAATGGAACCTAACGTTTTTTCGGCGACTGTAAAATCAAAATAAATTGTACAGTGAATAAATTATGATAATAATACAATTCAACGTCTATTCATACTATATTATACACTGTATATTATTATAATTTCAAAATCCTATCATACTAAAGAAAAAAAAATTGTATCTTATAGAGTTTTACCCTCGGAAAACTTTAGGTATAATACGGCATTATAATAAAGTGTTGAAAGTAACTTCGGCGTGCAT